AAGTCAAGGAACAGAAGGATTCACAGCTGAATTCTATCAGACATTCCAAGAAGAATTGGTACCAATCTTACTGAAACTATTCTAAAAGATAGTGGAAGAGAGAATTCTATCTAAATCACTCTATGAAGCCAGTATCACCCTAATATCAAAACCAGTAAAGGACATAACAAAAAAAGAAAACTGCAGACCAATATCTTTGATGAACATAGATAGAGAAATCCTCAACAAAATACTAGCTAACTGAATCCAACAGCATATCAAAAAGATAACACATCATGATCAAGTGGGTTTCACACCAGGGATGCAGGGATGGTTTAACATGTACAAATCGATAACTGTAATACATCACACAAACAATTAAAAACAAAAACCATATGATCATCTCAATAGATGCAGAAAAGCATTTGACAAAATCCAGGGTTTTCTCATTAAAACCCTCAGCAATACTGACATAGAAGGGATGTACCTCAAGGTAATAATGACAATCTATGACAAACCTACAGCCAACATTATACTGAACAGGGAAAAGTTGAAAGCATTTCCCCTCAGAACTAGAACAAAATAAGGATATCCATCTTCACCACTAATATTCAACATAGTACTGGAAGTCTAGCCAGAGCAATCTGACAAGAGAAATAAATAAAAGACATCCAAGGCAGTAAAGAGGAATTCAAACTGTTGCTGTTTGCTGATAATATGAACATACACCTAGAAAACCTTAAAGACTCATCCAAAAAGCTCCTAGATCTGATAATGAATTCAGTAAAATCTCAGGATACAAAATCAATTGCACAAACCAGTAGTACTCCTATACATCAACAATGACCAAGCTCAGAATCATATCAAGAACTGAATCCCTTTTACAACAGCTGCAAAACAAACAATCAAACGCCCCAAACTTAGGAATATACCTAACCAAGGAGGTAAAAGATTGCTACAGGGAAAACTACAAAACACTGCTGAACAAAATCATGGATGACACAAACAGAAACACGTTTTATGCTCATGGATGGGTAGAATCAATGTTGGGAAAATGACCATACTGCCAAAAGCAATCACAGATTCAATGCAATTCCCATCAAAATACCATCATCATTCTTCACAGAACTAGAAAAAACAATCCTAAAATTCATATGGATCCATAAAAAGAGCTCACATAGCCAAAGCAAGACTAAGCAAAAATAACATATCTGGAGGTATCACATTACCTGATTTCAAACTATATTACAAGGCTATAGTTACCAAAACAGCAAGGCAGTGGTATAAAAATAGGCATACAGACCAGTGGAACAGAATAGAGAACCCAGAAATAAAGCCAGATACTTACAGCCAACTGATCTTAAAGCAAACAAAAACAAAGTGGGGAATGGACACCTATTCAACAAATGGTGCTGGGATGATTGGCAAGCCACATGTATAAGAATGAAACTGGATCCTCATCTCTCACCTTATACAAAAATCAACTCAAGAGGGATCAAAGACTTAAATCTAAGACCTGACACCATACAAATTCTAGACGATATCAGAAAATCTCTTCTAGACATTGGCTTAGCAAAGAGTTCATGACTAAGAACCCAAAAGCAAATGCAACAAAGCAAAAATTAGATGGGACCTAATTAAAGTAAAAAGCTTCTGCACAACAACAAAAAATAATAATAATAATAATCAGCAGAGTAAATAGACAACCCACAGAGTGGAAGAAAATATTCACAAACTATGGATCCAACAAAGGACGAATAACCAGATCTACAAGGAATTCAAACAAATCAGCAGGAAAAAGATAATCCCATCAAAAAGTGGGCAAAGGACATGAATATAAAATTCTCAAATTTTTATTTTTCCATGTTTTTTGGCTATTCATCTATCTTCTTCTCAAAAAAAGAAGATAGATGAATAGCTAATAAACATGAAAACATCCCCGACATCACTAATTATCAGGGAAATGTAAATTAAAACCACGATGAGATACTATCTTACTCCTGCAAGAATGGCCATAATTAAAAATTTTTTTAAATAGATGTTGGCATGGATATTGTGAAAAGGGAACTTTTACACTGCTGGTGGGAATGTAAATTGGTATAACCACTATGGAAAACAGTATGGAGATTCCTTTAAAAACTAAAAGTAGAACTACCATTTGATCTAGCAATCCTACTACTGGGTATCTACCCAGAGGAAAAGAAATCATTATATGAAAAAGACATTTGCACATGCATGTTTATAGCAGCATAATTTGCAATTGCAAAAACATGGAACCAGCCTAAATGCCCATCAACCAACACACAGATAAGGAAAATACGGTATATTTATATGATGGAATACTACTCTGCCATGAAAAGGAATAAAATAATGGCATTTGCAGCAACCTGGATGGATGGAACTGGAGACCATTTTTCTAAGTGAAGTAACTCAGAAATGGAAAATCAAATATTGTATAGTCTCACTTATAAGTGGGAGATAAGCTATGAGGATGCAAAGGCATAAGAATGACATAATGGACTTTGGGGATTTGGGGGGAAAGAAGGGAGGGGGGTGAGGGATAAAAGACTACACATTGGGTATACTGTACACTGCTCATATGGGAAGTGCACCAAAATTTCAGAAATCACCACTAAAGAACTTACCTGGTCAGGCGTGGTGGCTCACACCTGTAATCCCAGCACTTTGGGAGGCTGAGGCAGGCGGATCACAGGTCAGGAGTTCTAGACCAGCCTGGCCAACATGGTGAAACCCCATCTCTACTAAAAATACAAAAAATTAGCTGGGCATGATGGCAGGCACCTGCAATCCCAGCTACTCAGGAGGCCGAGACAGGAGAATCACTTGAACCCAGGAGGTGAAAGCTGCAGTGAGCCGAGACTATGCCACTGCACTCTAGTCTGGGCAACAGAGCAAGACTCCGCTTCAAACACACACACACACACACACACACACACACACACACACACACCCACCCACCCCTTAACCATGTAACCCAAAACTATCTGTTCTCCAAAACTATTGAAAAAAAAAAGTGTTGGTAATCACACTTGTAATCCCAGCACTTTGGGAGACTGAGGCAGGAGCATTACTCAAGAGCAGCAGTTTGATACCAGCTTGGGCAATATGGTGAGACCCCTGGCTTCCTGTGTAAATATTTAAAAAAAAACCCAAAAGTTAGCATGGTACTTGCAAAAAAAAATACATATGAAACAAGAGTAGAGAGCCCATAAATGAACCCAGGTATGCACATGGTCAATTGCTTTTCCACAAAGGTGCTAAGAATATACAATGGGAAAAGAACATTCTTTTCAATAAATGGTGCTAGGAAAACTAGATACCCACATGCAGAATGAAATTGGACCCGTGTCTTACACTATATGCAAAAATCAACTCAAAATAGATTAAGGACTTAAATGTAAGACCAGAAACTATAAAACTACTAAAAGACATACAATGAAAAAACTGCCAATTGAAACCACAATGTGACGTCATCTCACACCTGTCACAATGGCTATAGTGACAAAGACAAAAGATAATAAATGTTGGCAAGGAAATGGAGAAAGGGAAACCCTTATACACTGTTAAGAATGTAAATTAGTTCAGCCATTAAGGGAAACTGCATTGATGTTCTCCGAAAAACTAAAATAGAATTACCATATGATCCAGCAATCCACTTCTGGGAATTCAACCCAAAGATTTGAAATCAGTGTTTTGAAGAGATGTTTGCAGCCATGTTCACTCTAGCACTATGTTCACAATAGCCAAGTTATGGAATCAACCTAAGGTCTATCATATGCTGAAGAAAATGTGGAAATGCAGTATATACACATAATGGAATACTATTCAGCTTTTAAAAAAGACATTCTGTCATTTGTGACAACATGGATGAAACTGGAGAACATTATCCCAAGTAAACCAGGCACAAAGACAAATATGGCACACATACTAACTTATATGTGGAATCAGTGTAGAATGATGGTTACAAAGGCTGGGGGCTGAGGGGAATGGGGAGATGATGGTCAAAGAGTATAACGTATGACAGAAGGAATTTCTTTTTAGTTCTATGACACAGCAGTTCTATTCACTATATTCTATATGGTGAGTATAGTATTATACATTTCAAAACTAAGTAAGTTTAAATGTTCTCATCACAAAAAATGTTAAGTATTTAAGGTGATGGATGTTAACTAGCTTAATTATTCCACATTATACTCATAACACCACTTTGTACACCCACATACAATTATAAATTGTCAATTTAAAGTAAAAAAAAAAAAAATGCAGAAAAAAGGCATTTTGTGGTGGGAAAGAGTAAATCCCAGAATGGCAAAGCAACTAATTCATGGTCCCCAGGGTTTAAGACAGAGCCACAAGCCCTATCCAGATGCAGCTCCCTAAAGGATTCCCAACAGGCTTCAAAGCTCGACTTGAGTCCAGATGACAGTGACAGGTTCTGCAGGATCTGGAAGCCAGTACAGACTTTTCTCAGCACATTTGCGAGCAGGGTGTAGGGCTCATAATTTACAATCATACCTGTGTGTATACATGCTTGTGTGTATATATCAGCCCCTGATAACTACATATCAAGGGCTTTTTTCTTTGCCTAAACACAGTGTATGCTTTAGAACACAAAGTGCTATAAGTAATTTGATGAACACAAGATTCTACAGGCAAATAGGGTGGGAAACACTGCATATTATAGCCTCACTGCCAACATGCTTGGTGCACCAGGAAACACATTTGCATATTAAGGAATGAATGGTTCCATAATAAAGAGATACCTTTAGGTTAGTTTAATCCAGTGATTACCCGATTAATTTGGTTATGACCACGTATCCTCCCAGCAGTACTCACCATTATTCTGTGGAACAAATTTGTTTATTTGCAGATGTGCACATTTTTGCAAAGGGTTATTCTGAATGTCTATAAAGTGTTTTAAACCTGGTACATTTTAATGAGGTTATATACCAAAATAGCATAAACACTAACAACGATAGAAACATCCAGGATGCAACTTGTGAAAGTAAAAATTTTTATTTTGATTGATTTCTCAAGGTATAGTTCAATATAATGCCAGTTTTTAATGGCAAAAATTTGGTTCCACTGAAACTCCATAATGCTACAGAGAGCTACTACATTTTCCAGGAAGTAGGTAAACAGCTGGAAAGAAAAAGGACAACTTCCTAGCAGCATGGCAACTTAAACTGCAGATCTAATAGGTCTGCAACTTTTACACTAAAAATGGCACAAACAGCTGGTGACAGAGTGAGAAATGGGGAAAAAGATGTGAACACTGAAAGGAACAATATATATACTGTAAATACAGTGAATAAATCAAATGTAGCTATAATGATCTTAAAGGATAATTATAGAAAAGGGAACCAAATATTTTACTCAAATGCTTTTTAGAGACTTTCTGTAGAGATACAAATATATATATATATATATATATATTTATCCAAAAATATGTTTTATACAGATAAATGTTTCTCAATTAAAGATGGGACCAAAGCTATAGGTATAACATAAAGCACATTGTCTTTTGTAAGACTATCCACCTGAATTTTCAATTTCTTTAAAGTGAGTGCATTAAATGTTTTCCAAATATAATTACCTGACATTCTTTTTATAGTTAAAAATCAAGTAGGCATTATGTTTTGAAAGGGTTTGCAGGTTAAACTTTTCTAAGATGCTGTGCATATTAAACTTATGAGCCCCATTAAGAATCATTATTAATAAACATACCAAAAAGGGCTATATAAGTCAGATTTTCCTGTTCATAGTAAATATTTTGATTTCCAGTTTACAAGTATTGAAAACGCACAAGAAAGATTTTACTTCACAAGTACTTTTATGTTAAGAATACACTTTGATTTAATATGTATGTCAATAAAACTCCACATGTTGCAACCATTAGTATGTTTTTGTTTTAAAAATGGGGATGTAATACTAATAACCACTACCTATAAAATAAAGCACACAATTGTTTTGGTGATGTTACAAATCTTTTTTTCCAGGTGTAAAGGCTACAAAAATTCCTAAAAATTAGAGAACACTGAAAACATATTAAAGTTTGACATCCAGCATATTAAAGTTTGACATCTGACATATTAAAGTTTGACATCCAGCATATTAAAGTTTGACATCCAACTTTATAGTATTTCCGTTTTACCCTGAAAGATAACTTAAAAAATATGGCCTTCTTAGAACAGGCCACTCTGCTATTATAAAAAATTGGTGACAGCAAGAAATTGTATCACTGATATGTGGTAGTTTTTTAAATAGTTTTGTCTCCAAATCATTAGAAAAATGTTCAAAAATAAAAACAAAATAAAATGTGGTGGTGGTCCCTAAACTATTTTGAAGGCAGGTAGCTTAGTCTAAGCTAAAATTTTTTTTTTCAGTTATAGCAATCATCCTCTCCCTCAAATGCCCTTTAAAAAAATGCATGAAACAATACAATAGCAAAAATCAAAGAGCACAAACTGTATTTTCAAGAACAGAAAAATCTCTAATGCTGAAAGATATAGTAGAAAGCAGATTTCTTTGGGGACATTAATCAATTAGTTTATAATTCATTATGAAGATTTCTCTTTTCTATTCCGGGGAGAGTCTGCTACATTTGAAGTTAATGTTCCATTTACACCATTTTCTGCAAAAAGAAAAGAATCTGTGTTACTTTCTTTTATAAATAAATGCAAGTAATCTTTATATGTAAAAAATACCTTTAGAAAAGAAAATGTAGAATCCAATATATACTCAGGTGAAATTTATTTACCAGTATTTAACCAATCACAAAACCTTGCAACATGTTTAATACATGAACTGAAAGTAGCAATTTAAAAGAAAACTACCCTTAAAAACAGAAAAAAGTGATAAGACAGAAAACTATTTAAAAAGTTACAAGAATTTAAAAATAGTATTCAAGAGAAATATCTTCTGTAAAAATAAAGAAACTTTTCACATTTGACAGCAAAGTCCTTGGGGATATTTGTTTACAACATACTAAATTTGGTGTCTTAGGATAATTCCTATGTGGAGTGTGTACTATGGCTTTCTTTTTATTTATTTATGTTATTGTTGTTTTTTGAGACAGGGTCTCACTCTGTCACCAAGGCTGGAGTGCAAAGGCACAATCATGGTTCAAAGCAGTCTTAAACTCGTGGCACAAGTGATGCTCTCACCTCAGCCTCCCAAACAACTGTGACTACAGGCGTGTGCCACAACACCTGGCTAATGTAATGGCCTTCTTCAAGCTATGATGGAGTAACAAATGTCTGACTGACTCTCTCTCCAAAAATATACAAGTTGCATACAGAAATGGATGTTTGAGGTGGGGTTGGCTTGTGCCTATAATCCCAGCACAAGTGGAATCCCAGCACAAATATTGAACTGAATGGGAATGAAAAAGACATAGAAACCTGTGAAATACAGACTGGGCACAGTGGCTCACGCCTGTAATCCCAACACTTTGGGAAGTGGAGGTGGGTGGATTACCTGATGTCAGGAGTTCGAGATCCTGCCTGGCCAACATGGTGAAACTCCATCTCTACTAAAAATACAAAAATTAGCTGGGTGTGGTGACAGGCGCCTGTCATCCTAGCTACTTGGGAGATTGAGGCAGGAGAATCACTTGAGCCCGGGAGGCGAAGGTTGCAGTGAGCCAAGATTATGCTACTGCACTCCAGCCTAGGCAAGAGACCTATACTCCATCTCACTAACAACAAAACTTACGAAATGCAGTTAAAGCAGTGTTAAAAAGGAGAGTTTACCCTTAATTGAATGTAATTCACAAGAGATACAATTCAGTGCTCCAAAAATCCATCTCAAGAAGGTAATCACAAACAAAACTGCAAATTCAACCCAATGAAAAGGAAATAAGAATAGAAATCAATGATCCAGAAAAGATATAACTAGGAAAATCAACACAAAAAGACAAATGTTGGTTTTGACTGAAGGAAGAAAAGATAAAAGGCTTAAGTTACTAACATACAAAATGAAAAACAGGAATCACTGACTTACAGGCATTCATAGGATAACAAAGTGTGTACGAATAATTTTATGCTAATATATTTGCAAATTTATATAAACTAGACAAATTTCTTAAAAAACACAATTCACCAAAAGAGAAACAACTAAGAAACACAAAACGTGAATAACATCTTTTTTTTTTTTCCCGAGACAGGGTCTCACTCTGTTATCTACGCTGGAGTGCAGTGACATGATCTCCACTCACTGCAGCCTCCACCTCTCAGTGATGGCAGCGGCAGCCCATATGGAGTGGCTGCTGCCTTGACACTGGCTGCGGTGGGGGAGGTGTGACAAGGGCTGCAGGAGCCCCGTCCCCTTCTGAGTTGGAGGAGTGGGAGCCCTGCACTCCTGGGTGCAGCTGCAGCCACCCAGCCACAGCTGTGGACCTGTGCATCCCTGCGCTCTTGAGGGCCTGGGAAGCCCCACTGCCTCTGCAGGCTTGGGAGTGCCTGCTCCCACTGCCTGGTCTCTCCCCACTCCTGGCATCTGCTACTATTTTGGAGTGATGTTGAGACTGACCCTGGGATCGGAGCAACTCCCTGACATGCCAGCTCCCTGCTGCCTTGGTACTGTCAGGTCTCTGGGTGCTGATGGAGCATGAGAGGTAGTCCAAAGGGGGCTGCCAGCAGCTGGGCACAGGCCTGCAGGCACCCCCCGGCATGACCAGCTTAGGTACCATGGATGGCAGGTTGATGGTCGGAGGAGGCAGACAGGTTTCTGGGCAGAAAGAGGTAGGTCCCTGGTGAAGCCTGCCTCTTCAAGCCAGGGATGGCCTGAAGCTTGGGGGCCAGGCCACCAGTTCAATGGATTGGAGTGACAACTTACAGTGGTTTTTCTGGGCCCGCCCATGGACCAATCAGCATGCACTTCCTCCCCTCTGAAGCTCATAAAAATCCTGGACTCAGCCAGACTTGGGTAGATGATGAGAAAACTTGCCTGTGGATAGGAGCTAACCACTCCAGGTCTATTGTCTGCTGAGGGCTGCACAGATGACAGGACACCATACCTGTGGAAAGGAGCTACCCATTTCAGGTCTCCTGAGAACTGTGCTGCCTCTCAATGAAGCTCCTCTCTGCCTTGCTCACCCTCTAGTTGTCTGCATACCTCATTCTTCCTGGATGCAGAACAATAACTTGGGACCTGCTGAATGGTAGGACTAAAAGAGCTGTAGCACAAACAAGGCTGAAACATGCCCCCTTGCTTGCCATGTTGTGGGCAATGAGAAAGAGAAAAGAACTGTGGTCCTTTGCGGAGCCCAGACCTAGGGACTCCCTAAGCCAGGGCTGTGACATCCTCTTTGGAGTTCTGCAATTCTGGGCATCTCCAAGCTCTGGGGGTGTTACCATGTTCCCCTTGTTCAGACATGGGTGCCACTCCCTAGCCCAGACCTAGGGATTCCCTAAGTCAGGGCTGTGACACCGTCTTTGGGGTTCTGCAATTCTGGGCATCACCAAGCCCTGGGGGTGCCACCACATTCCCCTTGTCCAGACATGGGTGCCCGCAGCAGAAGTCCTATGCTGTACATCTGGTCTAGCTGCAGCCTGGCACAGAGCCAGCACCTGTGCCAGTGCCTAGAGCTGCCTGCCCCACCACAGCAGCCAGTGTGACTGGCTGTGAGCAGTGGCTGGACCCTGCGTGCACCTGCTCACACACACCTTGCTGCTCTGCGCCTGGCTCACACTTGGCAGGTGTGGTATCTGGGTCGGTAGAGCAAGCCAAGGGTCGCCTGTCAGACAAAGTGGGTGGAATGAGCCTAGCAGGCCTGAGCAATACTCAGGCAGAAAGCACTGCCTGCCACAGAGTTTTCCAGCTGGCGAAGTGACACCCCAAGGGTGACAACAGGATCAAGGGATCCTCCTGCCTCAGCCTCCCGAGTATTGGGACTACTACAGGAGTGCACCACCATGCCTGGCTCATTTTTGCGTTTTTTTTTGTAAAGACAGAGTTTCACCATGTTGCCTGGGCTAGTCTTGAACTCCTGGGCTTAAGTGATCCACCCACCTCAGCCTCCCACAGTGCCCAGCCAATTGGTTGAGTCTGGTGGGCAGATTCAGAGTACAGGAGTTTGAGTCCATCCTGGGTGACATGGTGAAATCCCACCTCTATAAAAAACACAAAAACTAGTGGTGTGGTGACCTGTGCCTGTAGCCCCAGCTACTCAGGAGGCTGAGGTGGCAGGATCGCTTGAGCCCACAAAGTTGAGGCTGCAGTGAGCCAAGATTGTGCCACTGCACTCCAGCCTGGGCAACAGAGTGAGACCCTGTTTTGGGAAAAAAAAAAAAAAAAAAAAAAAAAAAGACTCTAGGTCAGATGGTCAGTTGGTGAACACTTCCAAACACTTAAATAAGAAATAATGCTGATATTACGCAAAAGACAAATCTACCCAACACTTTCTATAAAGCCAACATAACCTTGATGCCAAAGCCTGATATATTACAAAAAAGGGCTAATACAGGCTGATCTATTACATGAACAAAGATGCAAAAATCCTAATGAAATATTAAAAAAGGGATTTCAGCAAAAGTGATACACAGTGGTCTCCCCTTATTTGCAGCATTGCTTTCCATGGTTTCAGTTACTCAGTCATCCATGGTCTGAAAATAGGTAAGTGCTATATAATATTTTGAGAAAGAAAAATATCATATCCACATAACTTTTGCTACAATATGCTGTTATATGTGACTATTTATAAACAAAATTTTATTATAGCTATATTAGGAGAAAACACAGTATATACAGTCATAAATCACTTAACAGGCTATGTTCTAAGAAATCTGTCAGGCAATTTCACCATTTGTGAACATCATAGAACGTACTTCCACAAATCTAGATGGTAGAGCCTACTCCACACCTAGGTTACATGGTATAGCCTATTGTTCCCAGGCTAAAAACCTGCACAGCATGTTACTGTATGGAATATTGTAGGAAACTGTAACACAGGGGTAAGTATTTATGTATGTAAACATAAAAATGGTACAGCAGAAATACAGTATTATAATCTTATGGGACCAGTGTCATAAATGAATCATATAGGCACATATGCTGTACAGCTGTTGACTGAAATGTCATTATTTACCAGGTGACTGTATAGAGTCTGACACTATCCCTGGTTTCAGGGATCCAGTGAGGGTTTTGGAAAGTATTCCCCAAGGATAAAGGGAGACTATTTCATTATCATCACCAACTTGGATTCATGTCAGAAATGCAAAATTATTTTATCACTGATAGTCAATGCAATTCACAACATTAATAGAAAAAAGAAAAACTCTTATGACTAACTAAATGTTGCAGAAAAATTATTTCTTAACTTCCACAAGTCATAGACAAAAACTCTTAGTAAATAAGGGACATCTGCAAAACAGTCTTAATAATGAAATACTGAAAGGTCTCCTTCTTACATGAGGAACAAGAGTATTCATTTCTTGTATTCAACATTATGGCATAGTCCTAGCTAGCATAATATAGGAAGAAAATGAAAAGGTATAATATTTGTAGATGATATAACTGTGTATTTTAGTGTAAACCTTAGAATAAATAAATCAGGAAGACTACTCAATATATAGATAGTACCTTAAAGGGAACAAATGGCATTACTAAGTAACAAACAGTTAAAACTGTTTATTAAAAAGCATATGTATATTAGCTTAAAGAAGAAAATATCTGAAAATAAATTTAATGAAAAATGTATGAGATCCCTATACAGAAACCTATAAAATACATCCTTCAATAACTCTTCCACTGCTTCTTGCTTTTTGGCTAAGATCAAGTGAAGAACTCTTCCAAAAAACAGAAAAGGAAAAAAAAGCACTCCCCAATTCATTCTATGAAGCCAGTATTATCTTGACACTAAAACTAGGCAAGGATGTTACAAGAAAAATAGACACAAATATATCCTTTATATATACAGATACAAAAAACCTCAACAAAATACTTGCAAACCAAATCTGTAAAGAGATAAAAAGGATCACACAACATAAAAAAGTGAAATTTATCCCACGAATGCAACATGGGTTTAACATCTGAAAATCAATGTAATCTATAATACCAACAGGAAAAAATAACAAAACTCCACAAGGTTATCTCAATAGACGCAGGAAAAAAAGCAACTGACAAAATCTAACAACCTTTCATGATAAAAACACAAACAAACTAGGAATCAGAGGGGAACTTCCTCAACCTGATAAAGGTCATTTATGAAAAACCCATAGCTAACATCATATTTAATGGTAAAAGACTGGATGGATGCCTACCCTTAATATCAAAAACAAGACAAGGATGTCTGCTCTCAGCATTTCTATTCAACACTTGTTGTGGAGGTTGCAGGCAGGGCAATTTGGCAAGAAAATGCAATAGAAAGCATCCGGATTGCCCCACCACCACCACCACCACGACACACACACACACACACACACACATTTATTTATTCAAATAAATAAACTCGGTAAGGTTGCAGGATACAAGATCAATATACAAAGTGAATTGTATTTCATATACACTGGCAATGAAGAATCTGAAAATGGAATTAAGAAGACAGTTCTATTTTACAACAGCATCAAGAATAAAATAGAAATAAATTTAATGAACTGTAAGATGCACACACTGGTAACTATAACTGAAAGAGATTAAAGATCTAAATAAATAGCCATTCATGTTCATACTCTGCACAGCAACTTACAGATTAAAGATAATCCATACCAAAATCCCAGCTGGCTTTTTACAGAAACTGAAAAGCTCATTCTAAAATTCATATTAAAATGGCTGGGCAAGACGGCATGTTCCTGTAGTCCCAGCTACTTGGGATGCTGAGATGGGAGAACTCCTTGAGCCCAGGAGTTCAAGTCTACCCTGGGCAACATAGCAACATTGTTTACTTAAATAAAAATTCATATGGAAATGCAAGAGACTCAGAATAACAAAAACAAGAAAAAGAACAACAACATTGGGGACTCCCATTACCTGCTTTCAAAACTTACTACAGAGCTACAGTAATCAAGATAGTGTGGTACTGGAATAAGAATTGACATACAAACAAATGCAAGAGAATTCACGACCTAGAAATAAACTTTTCTTAAAAATGATTTTTGACAAGGCTATCAAGACAGTTCAATAGTGAAGAAGTCTTCTTAACAAATGGTACAGGGACAACTGAATGTCAAGATGCTAAACCATGAGTGTAAAACAGTATAACCACTTCAAAGAACAGTTTGGCAGCTCCCTCAAAATGTTAAACATAGTTACCATACGATTCGGAAATTCCATTCCTATGTATGCACCCAAGAGAATGAAAACACATGTTTGAACAAAAACTTGTACATAAATGTTCACAGCATCATTATTCATAATAGCCAAAAAGTAAAAGGCACTCAAATGTCCATCAAATGATGAATGGATAAACACAATATAGTATATATCCATACAATAAGGTAATCTATACAATGGAATATTATTTGGCAGTAAAAATAAATGAAGTCTTTACATATGCTACCACATGGATGAACCTCAAAACATAATCCAGTAGCAAAAGCCCACATATCACATGGTTCTGTTTACATGAAATGTCCAGAAAAGGCCAATCCTTAGCGACAGAAAATAGATCACAGGGTGCCGGGGCAGAATGAAGGGGGAAATGCGAAGTGATGCTGATGGGCATGAGGTTTCTTTTTGCAGTGATAAAAATATTCTGGAATTAGATAGTGGTCTGCACAAGTCTGTGAACAAACAATATGTTAAAAATGACTGAAATGTATACTTTAAAGGGTAGTCTTTATCATATGTGAATTATATCCTTTTAAAGCTATTAAAAATATTACTTGGAGAAATTAAAGACAATCTAAATAAACAGAGGTATGTATCATGTTAATGGGTTGAAATGCTTAATTATCCCTAAATTGAACTACAGACATGATGTTATTTCAACCCAATATCCCAGCAATTTTTGTGAAAATGTACCAGGTTGTACATTTTTTTTTCCCTAAAGAGACACTATGCCGCCCAGGCTGGAGTGCAGTAGCTCTTCACAGGCATGATCATTGTGCACTGCAACCTTGAACTTCTGGGTTCAAGTGATCCTCATGCCTCAGCCTCCTGAATAGCTGAATTGCAGGCACCCCTCACTGCACCCAGCTCAAGTTATATTAAAACGTATTAAGAAAATGCAAAGGGCCAAGAATTGCTGGGACAAACTTGGGGGGAAAAAACAATATCAATGCACTTTCACTTTTCACAAAAGTCATAAGGAGAAAAAAGGTTAAATGAAGGCTTAAAGACAAAGAATCAAGCAAGCAATCAGAAGTTACAAAAAAAGCTATTCCACTTGGGACAAATGGGGAGATGGGAAGAGGTTGTAAAGAGCTTTATAAAATGTGAGTAAGATGCCTGTAAACCAATTATCATCCTCTAATTTAGTTATTCACTAAACCTGCCCATAAACTTTGGTCTAGAGTGGCTCAAGGTAACCATGCATGGAAAACTTGTTAAAGAGAAATTTAGTGGACAGCTTTTAAGGGAAGTAACTGAGTTTCCTCACCCAAAGGATCGCCCAATTGTGAAACGCAGTAAGATTACTTTGCCTCTAATTTGGTTAAAAAGCAGAATATTTTCTTTGTAAGATCTTAAAACAAGTAAATAAGATCCCACAACAAATTTTTAAAAAGTTTTCTACTTCCATGAGTTTTTCATTGCTTAATGAACACAAACCTGTTCCTTTTCTGGAAGATCTGCCTTTAGTTACTGTTGGTTTCTTCTTCACAGCTGGTGCCTGAAAAGCAGAATGTTCTCTCCACCTCCGAAGCTGAAAATTAATGAACTTCCACATCATGAACGCTTGAGTAATGCAAATGGATGCCAGAACAGCGATTCTGAGAAATATTAACAAGTAAAAAATTATAGCGTATAAAAAACAATGCCACCGAATATATTCTATCTTAAGTTTTTAGTACTAAAATTTCCACTCAGTTGAGAAAGACTGTATTAATAATCATTGCATTAATAATTTATCCTAAAAGTTAAATGCTTTAGTACTTCACTTTAGACGTGAAAAAAAACAGCAACAGGTATAAAATAAAATCAAATTAAGTATTCTCCACAACCTCATATTCATGCTTTTTTTAGATGACTCATCATAGAGAAACTGATAATATATATTACATAGCTGTACAAAGTGAAAAAATGTTAAACTGACTGTACCTAACAGCCAACACATTGAAGTTTCCAGTACTGAAATCCAGCTTCTGATTCTCTGCTCTTGCAAGGCCAAAACCAACAGTCAGTACTGAAAGAATTAAAGTCAGAAGTCTTCCCAAAACAAAAAGAACTGCCCACAGAGAAAATCTGCAAGACAAAGGCCGTAAGTCAAATTCCTGAAATCTCAAAAGCAAGATTCTATTGGAAATTAGATTCCTATTAAATAAAGGCATATTAAAATAGCATTTCTTATTCTGCAAAAAAGAATCTTGTGTCAAATATGTGGGAAAGGCTATATACCACACTCAGATATAACACATATTAGCCTATTTAAATTTCTAAAAAAAAAATCCAGTAAATAAATGCTTAATTTTCTGTTTAGCTTATTTCTTTTCTTGTATAAGAACTATTGATGTTCCTCAGAACTATTGATATTCAGAATAATTTTGGAAAATGCTGGGCAAAACAAACCAGAAAAGCCATGTTATAAAGAATAGGATGCCCAATTCTCATTTAAGAGTTACCAGTTTTGCTTTTTTTTTAAGATGACTTTACGCTCTTTACAAGTTATACCTCTCCAATTCTGTTTTCAGTTCAATTTCCCCATCAGTATCTTTTAGTTATCTATGAGGCTAATTATCTATTGTTTCATTTTCTTCTGAGAAAATTTCACTTCTCTATCCTCCAAAAGAAAAACATTCAATACACAAGGTAGGAAAAGTTATAACAGAAAAGTAAACCCAAGAAGCCTTCAAAATTGCAAGATACAATACAGTATCTCTCGGGCCGGGCGCGGTGGCTCAAGCCTGTAATCCCAGCACTTTGGGAGGCCGAGGCGGGTGGATCACGAGGTCAAGAGATCGAGACCATCCTGGTCAACATGGTGAAACCCCGTCTCTACTAAAAAAATACAAAAAATTAGTTGGGCATGGTGGTGCGTGCCTGTAATCCCAGCTACTCAGGAGGCTGAGGCAGGAGAATTGCCTGAACCCAGGAGGCGGAGGTTGCGGTGAGCCGAGATCGCGCCATTGCACTCCAGCCTGGGCAACAAGAGCGAAACTCCGTCTTAAAAAAAACAAACAAAACAAAACAAAACAAACAAAGAAACAAAAAAAACCAAAAAAACAATACAGTATCTCTCTAGGTGAGAAAGGCTCCATTTTAGAGAGTAAAATACAAAGTCTGAATTGCTAAATCATTTTATTTAAAGTGGCTACTAATTGCTTAAAAAGTAATATAATGGCCAAAAGTATGGATCTTGGCAACTTGTTAGGCACTGACTTTAAATACCTACTACATGAGAAATAGAATGGCTAAACAACTTACCCTTTCTGATACTTCTCATTGCTAAAATAAAAGAGGCGGGAAATGTGGAAAAGAAATTCAACGAAATAATGCAGCACCAGAAGAACAAGTCCTAGGTGATTCAAGCTGTTAAAAGAGCAAATTGAAAATGGGAAGTTTAATTATCAATTAAGACAGGCCAGCATACCATCTGCCCAGCCCACTTACACCCTCATGAAATATCCCAACTCACTTCAAAAGGTAAGCTCCAGCAATGTGGAAGAGGTAAAGACCAATGTAGACAAGCTGACGAGGAATATCTTCCTGTAAAAAAATACGTTATAGATTAAAACACGCTAAAACATTTCCTTTCCTTTTTTTTTAAATTGTATCCTTTCCTTTTTCTAAGAGGTGGAGTCTTGTTATGTTGCCCAGGCTGGTCTCAAACTCCTGGACTCAAGAGATCCTCCCACCTTGGCCTTCCAAAGGGTCAGGATTTCAGGCATGACCCACTGTGCTTGGCTCATTTCTGTTCTTTAAGAGTAAGTGAAAAATGTAGTAGTAGGAGATCTGAAAACTATCCTGCCCCCACCCCACTCCAATCTCTCATCCCCAATTAGGTACATAGCTCTAGCAAGTCATTTAATCTCTGCTGGCATCAGTTATTTCACCTGTAAAATGTGAATACTTAGATTTGTTTCAAACAGATAAACTCAAAATCCCTTTTAGAGCTAAGATCTATGGCTCTTTTTTGTAATGAACATGTATTAAATGACACAGTATTAACCATGGTTACATGCTGACAATCTGATATTCCTCTAATGTTAAATTGTTATGTTTATAGTAGACATACTTTTGTTCACCTAAAACAGCATTCATATTTTTTCAGCTCATGCTTTAGTCCCTTCATTGTCAGTCATTAAAAAAAGTTTAACATTTTTCTTCTCATTTATATTATTCCTTAATTGTATATTCTTCTTCCTCAATTACTTTGCAAGCCCAAGTACATAAATTTTATGTTTGCTTCTTTTTTTCTCCCACAGTTATCCAGCACTCTGGGAGGCCAAGATGGGAGGATCATTTGAGGCCAGAAGTTTGAGATCAACCTGGGCAACACAGCAAGACCCCGTCTCTACAAAAACGACAATTAGCTGGGCGTGGTGGTATGCACTTGTAGTACCCGCTACTCAGGAGGCAGAAGCGGAAGGAGGATCACTTGAACACAGGAGTTCAAGGCTACAGTAAGCTATGATCATGCCACTGTACTCCAGCTTGGGTGACAGACTAAGACTCTGTTTTTTTTTTTTTTTTTTGAGACGGAGTTTCACTCTTGTGACCCAGGCCGGAGTGCAATGGCGCGATCTCGGCTCACTGCAACCTCCGCCTCCTGGGTTCAGGCAATTCTCCTGCCTCAACCTCCTGAGTAGCTGGGATTACAGGCATGCGCCACCATGCCCAGCTAATGTTTTATATTTTTAGTAGAGACGGGGTTTCACCATGTTGACCAGGATGGTCTCGATCTCGACCTCGTGATCCACCTGCCTCGGCCTCCCAAAGTGCTGGGATTACAGGCTTGAGCCACTGCACCCGGCAGGACTCTGTCTCTTAAAAAAGACCTTGCAGTAGATCATGAAATCAATTTAGGGATCACACCAGCATCTTTTAAAACATAAAATAAAATAGAAAATGTGGCCAGGCACCATGGCTCACACTTGTAATCCAGCACTTTGAAAGGTGGACTGCTTGAATCCAAGAGTTTGAGTCCAGCCTGGGAAACACAGAGAGACCCTATCTCTACAAAAAAACTTTCTAAAAAGTAGCAAGGCGTGGTGGCATGTGCCTGTTGTCCTAGCTACTTGGGGAACTGAGGCAGAAAGATTGCTTGAGCCTAGGAGTTCAAGGATGCAGTGAGCTAGGAAGACTCTTGTCTCAAAAAAATGAAAAAGAAAACGCTGGGGTGTATAGCACATTGTATTATGAAAATTCGATTCCACATTTTACACATACACACACACATACACAGTCTCTCTGCCTCTCTCTCTAAATTATGATATAAAAAGTTTTTCATTTTTGGTTGCAGTAAAAATGTTTACAAAACACTGACAGCAATAAGCTCAACAGGCCAGCCTACTGACTGATGAAACACCTATACCTCATTTCTAATTTCCTTAGATGTGGCAGTTTTCCTCATATGTATATTTACAAAGATTAGTCTAGTTAGTAGTATTCATGTTCTACAGCTACTAATAGAAACGATGGAGTTGATGTTGACAGGCTGAACTGTATTCCTCTGGAGCCTCACTTAACTTGTCTCTTGTATGTAGCACAGTTGAGTGCAGGTCTATTGGTCCTCCATTTCTCCCCTTATGTTTCCGTAGAGAAAGCTACTTCACCAAATCTTTTGCGTAGAGACTTTTTTAATGTCTAGTTTTGAAATGGAAAACTCTTCTCTAGTAAGAACAGTGCAAAGATCAAGGGTTAGGTAGAACATAAGACAGTCTGAATATTACTATTTATAATACTGTATTTTGGGACTCTTAGGAAAATTGATATCAAGTTTATATTCTTCCAACTCTTTGAAGAGATTCTTCTCTTCAAAGAGAGAAGTATCTCTGAAAACAGTCTTAAGATACTTTACATATAATTTGTAAATTTCCAGTGAAATATTTCAGCTTACGAAAGGAAGGAGAAAGGGTGTTGAGATAGCATGCTAAAGTTCAACCACAAGGGAACCTCTCCTCTCCCGTTATAATAATTTTAGAAAAGCTCACTTGTAGTATTATCAATGCAATTTGATGTACAATGCATGTAGAAGTGACACTAAATATATGCCAGTGTTTCCCAGTGTGGTGTGTACACTGGAACTGAACAAAATGATTGTAGACAGTACACAATAAAATACTTTTACTTGACTGTAATTAAAATTTTAAAGTATTTTAGGCTGAGTGTGGTGGATCATGCCCGTAATACCAGTACTTTGGGGGGCTAATGCAGGCAGATTGCTTGAGCCCAGGAGTTTGAAACCAGCCTTGGCAACGTGGCGAAACCCCATCTCTAAAAAAAATACAAAAATTAGCCAGGAATGGTGATGCATGCCTGTACTTCCAGCCACTCAGGAGGCTGTAGTAGTAGGATTGCTTGAGCATGGCAAATTGACGCTGCAGCTGCAATGAGCTGTGATTGTGGCCACTGCACTCCAGCATGGGTAACAGAGCAAGACCCTGTCTCAAACCAAACAAAACAAAACCCCAAAATCATTTTTATGTTAATATACCTTAACAATTAAAATGTCAAAAGTATGAATTAGTGGTATGTAAATATGGTAAAGCAGAAAGGTGGCACATAAATGACTAGGTATAAGAAATATTGCCATATTCTTTCATATGTGTTAGCCAACACTCCAAATGTCAAAGGAGAAAACAGACCAAGAGAACCCTTATAACTTAGGAGGGAAGCTTTTTAGTTTTTAACTGATGATTGAACTCATTTTATTCCATAAAAATTTGAGTAAGGCAATGTTTAAAAACAAAAAACTAATTTGTTGGAAAAACTGTAATGTAACTACTTAGGAAGTTTTTCTTTTTTAGTTTAAAAGAAATTCAAGTAAGTTTTTTAAATTCACACTGCTGAATTAGAAGAGAACTTAAGTTGCCTACTCTTTTCTTCTCTGACAAGACTAAAAACACTATTATAAATTAAAAACAAAATACATTTCAAAAAGCCATTCCATCTCTGATCTTTTGTCTTTAAATTTCAACCCAATTAGGTGAAACACAGTTGTGCTTGACATTAGCTAAGAAAAAAAATCCACAGAGTTCTTTCTTAAGTTCAGATTCAACTTTGTATGTTAGCCCTGCGTCTCCTTTTTAAAAAACATGATCTCGCTATGTTACTCAGGCTGGAGTGCAGTGGCTATTCACAGGTGCAATTATGGTGCACTGTAGCCTCCAACTCCAGGGCTCAAGTGATCCTGCCATCTCAGCCTCCTGAGTAACTTGGACTACAGACATGCACCACTGTGTCTAGTAGCCTTACCTTTCTGATAGTCAACCGAGTCAATAATAATAGAGGGTAAAATGCCATCACTAGGTTCCATATTCACAACCATCAAATGCCTAAGCAAAGCTTTAAAAACAGTATCTATAGCTTTCAAAAAGATAGAAGAATCAAGAAACCTTTTTCTAAGTAAGGGTCCATTCAGCTATGAACAAAATAACCAGTGTCTCTAAAGCAGTGTTTGTACACTCAAAGCTTACCACAGAAAAGTAAAAATGAGTAAGAGAATGGGCAGCTAAGTACTTGTGTCACTTACAAGCTGAGTGACCTTAGGTAAGCTAATTAATCTCTCTGTTTATTGACAGTAACAACAATAATACCACCCCCTCAAAAATGGCAGAAATGAGAATACCACAATGGGTGGTAGGAATTGTGGTTAACTTAACATACACCCTAGATAAAGGTATTCCCAAATGATTACAAAAAATACACGGAAGTGGGAGTGGTGTAAAATAAGTTTTATTTTATTTTTTTGAGATGAGCCTCATTATGTTACCCAGGCTGGTCTCAGACTCAGGCCACCCCTTGCCTCAGCCTCCCCAGTAGCCAGGATTACAGGTGTGCCACCATGCCTGGCTTACCATGATTTTTAAAATGAGAAATTTTATCTAGAAAATGGCTAATTTTAGCATCCCCCAACGTTCTCCAGTTATCACTGGGGTTACAGCCCCAGTGGTGCAGCGTTCACAGCTGAAGCTGACAACAAAGACTTGCCTAACACCAGCACCATAGTCTCTGGACATACACATTCACATGGGTTGTGGGGAAAGGGAAAGAACAGAGAAGGCTGGGTGAAATCATAACAAATCCTAAAATCGTAAATAACTTCAAGTACCATTTTCAGTTGTTATTCCAAAATCCTTTTATTAAAAAATGTAACATACTTCAACAAATTTATTTTTATAAAAAACACATTTCTTGACTATACTAGGCTGAAAAACAAACTAAGCTGAATATCACATATATGCCCCAAATATAAGGCAAAGATTTCCCCCCAAACCCCAGATGATGCATCTTATAATTAAATCTTTACAAAGCTCTTGTATTATAGAGATCTGCATTGACTATGTTGAACAAATAAATGTTTGCATAAGACACATACACCTGAAAACTTCAACCAACGCCATTTTTAAAGGTTCATAGAAGTCTAATGGAGGAACCAGTAAGACAGAAGAAAAGGTGATGTGCTCTGGAAAAAAATTCATTATGAGGAATGACAGATATTAACATAAAAGTTGCATATGAAAAGTGTAACAAATTTTCATGAAGTAGGAGGGGGAAGATACTATTTCTAATACTTTATATGATATGCAATTATATGTATGTATAGTTAAACTAAAATTGAATATCAGAAATAAAACATTTGGCTACTTCATGACTTCCCTAAAAGCTCATATATTCAAGGTGTCTAGGAAATATTTTGAATCTTCTCCATGGGCAAAATGGAGAACTGTTTATATACTGAGGCGTACACAGCATACATAATTTAAGTTTTCTCCTTAAAATAAACTAAGTTATTTGTGACTAACACACCTCTCGAACACACCTCTTGAACTACTAACAGCGTTCCTTTCCTATTTGTCTGTAGGACTGGTTCAAAACAATCACTGTACTAGTTTCTTCCAGTAAAGAGTTCTTCCAAAAATAATTTTCATAGAGTAAATTTTAAGAAACTGTTTAACACATATGCAGCTGCTACTTTCAAATTATGTTAATTACTTGAAACAGTTACTTTCAACTGTCATATGCAGGTGTTAAAAATAGTTTCAGTTAAATTCTAAGTTATGCAAATTATTCCATAAAAATTAGATTGCATTTCTGGAGAAGTGCCATCTGGCAGGAGCTGGTAAGAAAAGAGCTTTAGGAACTAAAATGAACAATTGCTTTGAAATGTCCCTCCTTACTTACCATAGTCAGTGAATAAGATATAGACATGGATTAATAATGAAATCCAGAGCTTTTTGTTCATGACTATACAAATACTTGAAGAAGGCTTTAAATATTGGAACCATGCTAATACATCAAGAAACTATTGATACTCTCAATAGCGCTGTCCAACAGAACTTTCTGCAATCATGGAAATGTTCCATATCTCTTCTGTTCAAAATGGTACATACTAGCCACAGTGGCTAATAAGCACTTGAAATATAAGCTAGTGTGATCAAAAAAGTCAATTTCTTTTTTTTTTTTTTAAGTTCATCTAGATGTGACTAGTAGTTACCATTTTGGACAGTACAGCCCCACAGTATCTATGATTCACATTAAGCACTAACTAAACATTTGGAAGGGCTACTGGAAACCAGGCCTAACAATTTTATCTGAAGACAGTTCTAAGTCAAGGGTTCAAAAATAAAAGATCTTCATCCTATTCCTTACAATCAATATAGCTGGAGAAAAAATCTACTTTATAAAAGAAATCAGCATAAAAAGAGCTTAAGTGTCATAGCATATGGCCTCTAATTTGGTGCTGTTTTCTAGTCCTAGCAGACAACATGAATGACAACAGACACACAGAACACAGACTCCAAACAGTAGCGAATCAAGTGCCTATACCATGAATTAACTATTTGTAGCACACATAAAAATAGTGTTTTATGGCTTTTGAGTAGGCAAAGATAAACTAGTCACCAGGCTGGTTGTCACACTTTTACTCTGAAGTTTTCTCAAAGTAAGGAGATTTAAAAATAAAAACCCAAAACATTTTAAATTCGGGAAAATGTAAACATACATACAACAGACAGAAGATTCTGACATACCTATAACTCAATCATTATTAATAAATGACCAAACTTGTTTCATCTATATCCCTCTTCACTTTCCTTCACCTGATATTATTTTGAAGTAAAATTCCCCATAGGATTTCATATATGAGAATTTAAAAAATAAATAAATAAATAACCTCCCAGGAAAAAAAGGGGAATGAAAGTACTTAATTTATCCTAGGGAAGAGGTGTTCCAGGAAAAAGAAATGATGTGGCAGGATTACAAAACTAGAGACTGTCAGTGTGCATGAAGCACAAGGAGAGAGCAGAGGAGGAGAGAAGAGGAAGAGCTCTCTGGGAAGAGATGGTGCCGATGGGAGAAACTCTCAGGGCACAGCTGAGCAGCATTACTCCAGCTTAACGTAATAGGGAGCCAGTACAGGTGTCAGAGGAGAGAGTTAAGGTTAAGTAAAGGAAATAACTTTTATGATAGCATGGAAGCCTGACTTCAGAAGCTCTGAGGGTAAAACTAGGAAGCAGGATTTTGCAGTGCTCCAGCAGTTTACTTACTGGTTCAAATTAAGCAAACAAATGTCCTTCCCATATGCTAAAAAGGGAATGCTCTACTCATTTCAGGAGAGGCTTTGCTGGTGAATATTTAATTATCTTTTACTTTTTTTTCCAACACTGATTTTTTCTTTAGGACTTACACACAGAACTGTTAGTTGTAATGTGACTAGCCCTTTTTGCCTCACTTGTGAAATAAATTGCTAAGAATAAGGGTAAGATAAAACAAATATTACATTTAAAAATTTGTTTAAATTTTAATTTACATTACCACTAATGTAATTTTAAGACAAGCCATTAACATATCAAATGTAAAAAATTCCCCTCTAAGCTAAAATACTGACTGAACGTTTTTTCCCCCAAGAAATGCTTAAGGATTTTAGACTTTGTGGAAAGAGGGGTGGTAGGAGAATAATGGAGTAAGAGTTGAGGTAAAAAGGATGGAGGAAGGGCAAAGACGTAAGGAAATACTTAATTTTAAAAAAAATTTTCCAAAAAAAAAAAAAAGACAAGACAATTTTTAACACTACAAAATCCCAGCTTACTTTTTTGGTTTTCTGGAAGTAGAGTTCAGGAAAAGCATGAAGCCAGTAAGCCAGCTGTGATATGTAGAAAAACTTCATTTGAAATCTGTAGAACGCAAGAAAATGAAAAGTATCTTTTAAAGCATAAGTTAAAAAAAAAAATAGTAAACAAACACTGGAAATCGGGACATACTAAGTAACCACCTTTGTTCTTATTCCATACACTATTCTGTATACCTTTAAATAACTCTTCAACAACCACTTTCCCCACCTCCCTGTGACAGTCCTACCACTGGACAAGTCCCCTGGATTAAACAGCTGGCAAAGATATCTGCAGAAAGCTACCGACACGTAAGCCAGTGGGAGGAGTCAGAGCTCCTATCAGTTCATTAATACTGACTATAGTGTATCATGTTAACTACTGAAAACATAATCCACACGTCTATACAGTTTCATCTAGACAAGAAGGGCAAAAAGACTGACACAAAATCAAAGGCTCATAGATTAATATACCTAAAACTGGGATAATCCCAATTTCAAATATCCTGTTTTTTTTTTTTTCTTAGGCAAATATGGTAACTCTACCTGGTTGGAACATGGAGAAAGCCCCAAACAAATGGAGGCAGAGTTGGGATTAAAGAGAGTCAGAATAAGACATACAAGGGCTCTCCAGGAGCTATATCATAATCAGTCTAGAACCAATACTCTCTTGACATTATATCCCTCTAGCCCTTTTGCTTCCTCTTTATTTTCCCTTCTCCCTCTCTTCCAGAAGTCTAAAATAGAAAACACAAAGCCAATCTGAAATAATTTCTCAGGGCAGGGGTGGTGGTGGTGGAATAGTCCCACATAAACACAGTATTTACAAAGTTTGTTGAACTAATAAAACTTTAGAAATCAGAGAATGATTCAGTAGAATGGGTATTACTGCTGGTCTTAAAACAAAATATACATAGTCATGTTATTCCCTTCCTTCCTTCATAGCTTCTCCCTTCTCCAATTCTCACATCACAATGTAGTTACTAAATATTGTCTAGGTGACAAGCACCTGCAATCTACCAGGCACAATGAAGGATACAAAACAATTACAGGACAATCAAAACAATATATAGACACTACATAAAGCATCTACCAAAAGGACACATTTGGGGATACAAAAGACCAATACAGGCTAAAGTAGCAAGGAAAATTAATATAGAATAGTTGTACTAGAGCTGGGCTCAAATCATGAATGATTCAACTGACAGTCTCTGTAACCACTGAGCACTGTAACCTGGCAGCACTGTATAAACTAGAGAGAGAATAGTTGTACTAGAGTTGGGCTCAAATCATGAATGATTCAACTGACAGTCTCTGTAACCACTGAGCACTGTAACCTGGCAGCACTGTATAAACTAGAGAGCAAAAAAGAAACCATGCCTAACCTCATGAAGCTTCTAACAGAAGAGAATAAGAAAGGAAGATATGAAAAGAGACAGTGGGTGGGGACAAAGAAAAGGAGCCAAAGTACGGAGATGATGGAGTCGTAACAAGGAGAAAGGACGAGTGAAAAGAAGAGAAAAGAAGCAAGTACCAAATTAAGATTATGTTAAAATCATCTGCTTCAAGCTTACAAAGACGCTGAAAAGATTAGAATAGAAACATAAATAAAAAAGGACACAGCGTTGTTGTTGTTGTTTTTCTTATGGCAGTAGGACTGTCAAAGACATACTTTTATCTATTTTATGAATTTGCCTAAGTTCCCAAAGAGAGTAACAAGAATGAATTCTGATTACAGTGACATGATCGTGGTCCTTAACAAAGAAAGCCCTGCTAAAAATGACTTACGTCATCAGGTTATGGGGATAAGCCCTCCATAAGATAGTTGGGTCTGCGATGTAGTTTTCCTAAGAAAGAAGATACAAAAATTAACCTATGAGCGTAATGCAAACTTCTTGGAAAACAAAGACATTATTTTCATTTCTCATTTACAGTTCCCCATACCAGGTTCCAAAGAGCCAAACTCTTTAGTTGTTTTATTTTCAAACCAAATTGAGTTGCTTTCTTGAGTAAAGCGAAAATCAATGATATAAATCAGATATGAAATCAGGTAAGAAGTAATTCCTGGCCCTAAAAAATCTTTCAATCCCGTAGAATTAAAATACACATAGGCAAACAAACATAAAACAACAATAAATAGTAGTAGTACATAACAGAGGCACAGCAGCTACCAGGAGAGATGACTTTTGTCTTGGGGAATCAGAGGATTTCAGGAAAAGTTTGTAGCACCTGACAGGAGACAAAGGATAAGGGCGCTACCACATTTTATGTAATTACATCCATAAAATACTGCCCAAATCTTTTTCTTAATCAGATCTATTTAGTGAGAATTACGGCATATATTAAAAAAAATTTAAAAATAAATAAAACAAAATAGAAACTAACTTTTTAAAGAGTATTTTCCCATAGCAGTATATATTTGATTTTTTTTTTTTTAATTATAATGGCTCTTAACCTAAAATGTACATATTACCTATAAAGTATTATTAAAGTAGCAGAGTAAAATGGCATGAGAAATGTTTTAAAGAGCTAAGTCTTAGTATACCTCCAACATGAAGTGCTTTACCCTAGAAAACTGTTATTCATCTCTAACATAGTGATTAAAAAGAATTATGTGTCTGACAAACTTAAAAGTATGTACACTATAGGACACCATATAAATTTAAGGGATTGTTATCACTTATATTAAAGCAAATACTGCCTTTCTTTTTCTCATTAGTTAGAGTGATACAAATAAAGGTTCTGATTGCTATAACTGAAAACCTACAACAGTTAAGAAGCCTGGAAAACACTAGGGCTGTTTTTAAAGGAAGAAATGACTGTGACCATTAAAACTCATGTAACCCAGTAGGAGTATCATTCACATCTTAAAGCTTTTTGCTGATACACAGGTATCTGTAAACCACTAAAAGTAACAATCAGACTGACTAAAAATGAGTAAGCCTTTCTGAAACAGTACACATAGTTTAGAATTTTGTCGTATAAAAAAATGCTGAAAAGAGATTTATCGCTGAAACTCTTAACATATACTGCTTCATTAGAGAGTTCCTAATCGTACTTAAGGAAGGAGAGCAACAACATAAGAGGACATACTTACAGAGATTAGAATGAATGTTCCCCAAACACAAGCAAAAAGGTAGAATGCACTAAGCTGACCAGATTCATTAAACTTGCTATGTTTCGTTTTGGAGAAGTGCATTCGCCTGTTAATTTTCTAAAAATAAAAACGGCCATTAGTAATTAAGAATTATAAATTATATTTAATATATGACTATCAAATCATAGAGAGATAGTACTTTATAAAGTATAGATTTCTAAGACTGCATACTTACATCCAACACATACTCTTGAATTATGGCATGAATAATTATCGCCACTAGCATGTAGAAGAAAACTGTAGCCAAATCTTTGATACCATAGTAATAAAGGGACGCTGATTCAGTAGCTTGTTCTTCTGAAGACCAAAAAGGACACACATACACAAAAATATACATAAAGTTATAAAAAGCATTAAGTACAACACAGTTATAGAAACAAAGAAGACTAACCTAATACAAAAGTTCTATACAAACATCATAAATAACGTGCTCTTGGACATCTTGAGTCTTACGGGGCAATGAAAATCAAGACTATCTAGAAATCTAAAGCTTTAGAAATTACTTACAAAGTCTTGACATGTTAGTTACAGCCACCAGAGACCAAAAAACAGGGAAGAGGAGGCCACACTCAATAAACTGATATTATCCCAGGGGTATAAATTAGGTTGATAAAGTTATACTTAGCCTACTAACCTATTTTTTTCAAAGGACTTTTGAAACTTTCTACGTCTACTTTCAAACTACATACTAAATTATGATTCTGATGGAAAAACCGATTTGACCTGTATTTGGTTTAGTTTCGATCCATAAGCAGTAGAGATAAAGGCAACTACTAAAGTTGTTTTTAGCCCTTGCAATTGCTATACATTTTTGAAAACTAATCTTTATCAAATACTCGTGAATTGCTGACACTTGTTCTCAAACTTTATGTTTACGGGGAACATACATGTAAAAGAGCTTTATTCGTCTGTGGCATATTCAAATTTCAAAACAGTATTATAGCTTTGAGTAACATGATAACTAAATTGCTAAATGAAATATTTACAGAACTGTACATAACTGAACAAAAGCTCAATTCAGGGGCTAGGTGCAGTGGCTCATACCTCTAATTCCAACACTTAGGGAGGCCAAAGTGGAAGGATCGCTTAAGGCCTGAATTCAAGACTGACCTAGGTAATATAGTGAGCTCCATCTCCACAGTAAATTGAAAAATTAGCTGGGCATGGTGGTGTGCCCCTGTAGTCCTTGGGAGGCTGACTCGGGAGGATCACTTGAGCCCAGAAGCTGGAGGTTGCACTGAGCTATGAACATACTACAGCACTCCTGCCTAGGCAACAAATTTAGCAAGACCTTGTCATCTCTTAAAAACACACACATAAACAGCAACAACAACAACAAAAAACCCCAACTAAATGTTGTATACTACAACATCTTACATTCCAAATAAAAAACTCTGTGCATGCCGGGTGCGGTGGCTCAAGCCTGTAATCCTAGCACTTTGGGAGGCCGAGGCGGGTGGATCACGAGGTCAAGAGATTGAGACCATCCTGGTCAACATGGTGAAACCCCGTCTCTACTAAAAATACAAAACATTAGCTGGGCATGGTGGCGCGTGCCTGTAATCCCAGCTACTTAGGAGGTTGAGGCAGGAGAATTGCCTGAACCCAGGAGGCGGAGGTTGCGGTGAGCCGAGATCGCGCCATTGCACTCCAGCCTGGGTAACGAGTGAAACTCCGTCTCAAAAAAAAACCAAAACTCTGTGCAGGTTTACTGCCTCAACCAAAAAATACCCCATCCCTCACCCATGTTAGTTAATTATATCACTGTATTAAATTACAATCAGCTTCCAAGAAACACCTAATTTTTACATAGAATAATTAAGAAATAACATTTTTGAAGTAAAACCTAATAGTTTGGATGCTTTTACCACATAATTCCTAGAGCTTACCAATATTTTCTTGAATTAAAATAATTGTTAAAAGTAGTGAATAGGAAAAAGTGAAAATAAAATAATCTTAGAAGGACTGCTATTAGAGGTACAAAATATAACTTGCAGAAACACTAAATCTGTCGTGCTTTTAGAAGCCTTGAATAAACAATGACATTTAAACAAATTTTAAAAATATATTTTTGTATGTTTTTCTTAGGAAAAGATCAGGAGGCAGAGAAAGCAAAACAAAGTTCTTTTATGGAATTTCAAGTCCATTCACAAATATATGCAATAAACAGAAAACATATATAGGGTAAAGTCAATCAAAAACATCAGATCTTGTATCACAAAATCATCAAAGTAACATTCAGTCACATCACGGATGGGATGAGATCTCTGATGATTAATACAGGGCCTAGTATTCACGACAATTTCCAAGTCTGTTCAATGGAGCTTCTATTACATAGAAAATTCTTAGTGCAAATTACCTACCTGTTGTGGGGAGGGTAACATTGTACTGAAGAGTAACAAAAATGATAGACGCTTTTGCTGTTATCTAGAAAGAAGGAAAAAAAAAAAAGATCAAGTCAATTTATGACCCTCTCCCAAATAAGAGATCAAGGGCAAAAACGTTATAAAATCTGTCCCTAAATCGAAGCACCAAAGGCCTCCTAGTTCCTGTGGTACCTTGATTGACAGACACAATGGAAATTACTAATTACCGAGGAGCTAATGTAATTCACCAGAGTACCCTTCTGTGGTTTAGCTAAGATTGTATAATTCATCCTCAACTTTAAGATTTCAAGAGACATTTCCTGCAGTTCCAGAAAACAGTTATTGAACAAATAATGATTCTCTAGCCCTTTACAATGAATAAAAAGTTCTTATTAGGAAAAATTTTGAGCGTAAATAAAATAAAAGGAAGCACAGTTAGCACGAGAAAAAAACATCAAATGTAGAGTTTGTGGTGTGGGTGTGTTAGTATCCCCACACACCTAGCATAGCTAAGTGATCAGTAAGTGTTTAACTGACTTGACTACTGGCAAAAATAAACTGGTCAGAGCAGAAAAATGGAATGCTTATCCAGTATTTATAGGCACCAGGCAAAGTGCTAGACAAGAAAGGATAATACAAAGATGGAAAAAATAATCCCTGATGATAAAGAGCTCTGCTGTGTGAGAAGCACAGGTAAATAAACGGTTACAGTACTATAGAGTAAGTGCCAATCGCTTACACTGTAGGTACTTGGGATTAAACAATGAACTTTATTGGTTTTGTTTCTGGGGTAGAACGAAATGAAGCATGCTCTGGAAAGGCTTCTCAGAGGAGCTGGAGCTGTGTCTTGCTGGGAAATAGGTGTTTCCTTGGTTCACAAAGGGGGATGAAAAAGGCAGCACAGATAGAGGAAACAGCATGGCAAGGTCAAGCAGCAGTGAATACAAGGCCAGGCATAGGACGCACATCAGGAAGTGTTAGAAAAGACTAGAAACATTATTGAGTGTTAGAAATGACCCTGTTTGTTGAGCTAAGTAGTTAAGATTTCATTTTTGCACAACTGGAGAATTTTGGGGATGAGAAAGTTCATTTATGCCTTTTAGAAGGACTGCTGTCTGTGACCTGCTAAGTGGTCTTCAAGGCCCCTTCATATCCATTCCCCACACTGCACCTAGAATGATTTTCAGATCATGTTACCTCACCCCCTCCCTACCTGCTAAAAATCCTTCACTGGATTTCCATCTTTCTAGGAGAATGTGGCCCATAGGACTCTATGGTCTGACTCTTCCCTCTGCCTCTGCAGCCTCATCTCAGACCATTTCCTCCTGCTCCCTAGCCTCCTGCAGCACCTCACACCACAGGGTCTCTGCACATGCTGTTCCATCTAAAATACACCTGGAAATCTTTTCCATAAGATCTCAGTTCCATCACACCTTTTCAAGGAAGTCTCCCCATCTTCCTAGAGTAGGTCATTTCCTTTGTTAGATTATCTCAGAGAACTATGTTCCTTTCCTTCAAAACACATACTCTGGCCTGATTATATTAATAATTTCTGTCTGGCCCATTAGAAAGTAAGTTCCATTAGAACTGGAACCCTGTCACTATATTTTCAGAGCCCAGCACGGGGCCTGGTACATATTAGGTAAGTAATCAATACCACTGAATAAAATCAGTTAAAGCACAAACTGGAGTGAGCATGCAGACAAGAATGAAACTTCTTTGGTAAGCTAGAAGAAAGAGTAGAAGGTTATTTATTGATGCCTACAGCTCTGGGAGATATGCAGTAAAGCAGCAAAAACCTCAGTCTAAAACTCAGTAGGGAGAACCTAGCTTAAATAAAGATTTAGGAGTCTCTACAGATAATAGGTGAAGCTGTGAAAATACATAAATCATATATGGAGAGTGAACAGTATTTGTAGAGAAGTAGGACAACATCAGACCCATGGAGAGAACAGGCAAAAAAACAAAACTTCAACTCACCAAAACTAATTAAAAATGGTTAGAGAGACAGAAAAGGAAATAAAGAGAGCTTGGTGTCCTAAAAGCCAAAGAGGAAACATTTCCAAAAGGTGTGGTTAATAAAGTCAAAGTTTCAAAAGAGATGTGGGAGGAAAGAGTACAATAGACCAGACAATTAAGAAGTCAGGCGGGCGGATCACGAGGTCAAGAGATCAAGACCATCCTGGCCAACAGGGTGAAACCCCGTCTGTACTAAAAATACAAAAATTAGCTGGGCGTGGTGGCGCGCGCCTGTAATCCTAGCTACTCAGGAGGCTGAGGCAGGAGAATTGCCTGAACCCAGGAGGCGGAGGTTGCGGTGAGCCGAGATCGCGCCATTGCACTCCAGCCTGGTTAACAAGAGCGAAACTCTGGCTTTTAAAAAAAAAAAAAAAAAAAAAAAAAAAAAGTCATCAGTGGTCACAGCCTGAGTGATTCCAACTAAGTAGTGGGAGCAGGAACTGCGGCGCAGTGGACTGAAGAGCACAGAGGCACAAAGTGGTATCCAGTAGATACTAGGTCAAGATTTATGCAGTTTTTAGGATAGGAGAGATTGAGCTTGTGTGGGGGCAACAGTGAAGATACCACGGAAAAGGGAGGAGAAGTTAAACACACAGGATAGAAAGGGAATAACGGATGGAAGCATAATGGTAGGGAACAAAATCTAAGGACTGAGCATTGCACTCTTGAACAACTTTCCTCTTAGGTGGGAAGGAGGCAGTACTGGATGGGACAGATAAGTTCAAAAGACAGGAAAATGAGAAAATCTGTGCTTGATAAATTTTTATTTTCCCTGTGTGGGAAAAGAGCAATGTCACATATTAAGCAAAATGGGAATGTGAATGATGACTATTTATATAGTTCCCAGAGGGAAAGGAGATGGCCAGGGAAAGTAAAAAGATAACCGGATGCTAACATCTGAGGTTAGAAACCTTTGATTTACAATATTATCTACCAGCATGAGTATGACTTTCTCTGGCAACCCTCAGCAATCTGTGAATTGAGAGGCACAGAAAAGGCCAATAGTGGAGTAAAGCCTGTAGGAAGAAAAGCAAAACAATGAGGGGGCTAATATACTGGCGAAAGGGAAAGGGGGCCACGGTAACACAAAAGCTCAGACTAGGTAGGGAGCTGACTTGTGAGTACTAGAATGATGGAGGTGAACAAAACATAGGTTGTAGCTGAACTCTGCTATCCTGGAATTCAGGAAGTGGAAGAAGTCAGGCCTGCATGATAAAGCGCAGGAAATGGACACGAAAGTGAGTTGCTGAACTGGGTTACATATGAAGGTCTCTTAAGTAGAAAAGGCTACTAAGGCTACTCTATTAAAATTTGGGTCATTCACAAGGACTCATTAGAGCAGAATGATGACACAAGTCTCCAGTGCAACACTACTTTCATGTGATTATTTTTAGTAAAGTTGAGTGGTTAGTACATTTCATTTAGTTATCTTTGTTTAGACTATACACATATAAACACTCTCTTTCACACACAAACACTCCATATCCCTGTTTCCAGTTTGCAATATGAAGTCACCACTGTCACACCTAAGAACACTTTATTAAAGAGTCCTTTATAAACAAGTGAGATTCTTCAAAGATAAATTTAGCATTAAATTCTAAAAGCAGCAAAAAGTAGACTATCCTTTTAGCCAGGCTTCCAAATAAAATTAAAATCTGGCCTCTAGCTGCTTTAGCATGTGACTTTAAACAGAAGAGGAGGAAAATACTACACATCCCCAAAAGTTTAAACTTTAAGCCAGCATTCATGCTCCTAACCATATCCAGGCCTCCTAGCCATGCCAGCATTGCTTTAAACTTACACCACAATTAATTGGTAGTAAGATAAGTTAGTTTAGAATATAAATAAGCTACAGAAATATATAATGCACTCAAAAGTAAAAATACCTGAGTTTATGTCATTAGTTGGGGCTTGGTATCTTTTCTTGTTATATAGAGATGTGAACTATTTTGAACTTGTTTTAGAGGAAGGTGTGACTACTACATGGACTGGATCCCTGAAAAGTAAAGACAATTCTGAATATCAAATTCCACTTCCAGTGGGGCTCAGTGGCATATGCCTGTAGTCCCAGTCACTCAGGTGGCTGAGAGGAGAGGATCACTTGAGCCCAGGAGGTCAAGCTTCAGCCTAGGCAACATAGTGAGACCTTGTCCACAAAACAAGAGAGATACTTTTGTAGTTCACAAGTGTAATGATTGGGGTTTCACACTTATGTGTGAGGTGTGTCTCTCCCTCAAACTTTGTTTTGACCTCAGCACCACAACCTGTCTGCCATGAAAAGAAAGAAAAAAGAAAATGAAAAAAAAAAAAAAAAAAAAAAAAAAACCCAAACCTCCAAAACTGTTCCAAGATTGTTGAAATTTTAAGTGGCCTCAAAATCTGCATGGCATAAAGAACTTACAGATTTTGATTATCTTTCTTTTTGAATATCTTTCCTTTATACACGCCTTTAAAGGAAATACTTCTCTTGTGACCCTGTAATTCTTCACCCCCCCTCCACATCCTCACTTTCAGAAAGCTTCCCAAGCATCCCCACCATTTTATCATTCAGTTTTTCTTAACTCAAATGTGAAACCATTCATTGTACACTATGATTTGAATTATGTGGACAAATACTGACTGTAATAAAACTATGATTCCAAAATTTACAAGCAATTTTTGATTAACGTAAAGTTCCCTGGAAATTAAACTCTTACATTACCGTCAAACAGACTACTTTATTAGCCTTTTATTACTGTCTTTTATTATTAACTACTTTTATTACCGTCAAACAGACTACTAGATGCTAACTTCCAGGCCCTTCTCTCACATAAAAATGCTTTTTATTTCCTGATTCTGGTGAGTTTTGAAATAATAATAATAGTTACTACTTACTGCATGCCTCTTACAAGCCAAGCACTGAACTAGGCAGAATACATACTGGTTAATTTAATTATCAGGGTAACCCAATAAGCCTCATTTTACAGATGAGGAAACTTCAGTTCTGAGTTATCCTCAGTCACCCAGTTAGCAAGCTGCAGAGCCCTAACTTGAACATGAATCCCTTCAGCTCCAGAATCCTTGCTTTTACAGGGTATCTCCATTGCTTCTTCATTTTGGCTAGCAATAGAGTATTTATTTATTTCTTAATTTATTTGTCGATTTCACCATAAATCCTCTGACATTTCTTCAATGTATTTGCACAAAAGGCTTAACAGTTCTGCAAAACAATCAATTTCTCTATTATTCCAGCACAAATACTGTAATTCTATAATTACGTTAACTTTGAGATTCAGCAGCAATTGTTTTAAAAGTAAAATAGCAAACGAACCTAGTCAACACATTCCCATATATAGATAACATGCTTTGAAATCCTAACACCTTAACATATGGCAAGAAAAAGGAACAACTTGCACAAACTTCGCTTTTGTGTATCACTTTAACGCTCACTTTTGAATTGGCTTTAAAAGCCTCTATTTAGTATCTTTGTCTATGTAGAGCTTCAAATTTTACAAATTTAAGTAAAAGTGAAAGTCCACTATTAAAAAAAAAATCACTAACATGTGAGGCAAGGTATAGGTGGTGGACTTCTCTAGAAATATACGAAGAGAATATAAAATAGTTTATATAAAATCAAACTTCTACTGTGTGTCAGAATTTCTGATTTACATTTCATTTCATTCAAAGTATTGCAAATATACCTTGCAGGTCACAGTACCCCTAAAATATATTTTTAAAGTCAGAAGTTCTTAACATGTGGAGATTGTTTATGACAAGTTACATAAAATCAGATATACTACATATGTTAAAGTATTACTTTAAGATAAAAGCAGAAAATATATACAAGTATCAAATTCAGAAAGTGAATACAAATGTTTAGCATTGGGTTTTTTTTTTTTGAGACAGGGTCTTGCTCTGTCCTTCAGGCTAGAGTGCAGTGGTGCAACCTTGGCTCACTGCAGCCTCCACCTCAGCCTCCCAGCTAGGACCACAGGTGCGTGTTATCACTCCCAGGTAATTAAAAAAAAAAATCATTTGTCGAGACAGGGTCTCCCTATGTTGCTTAGGCTGGTCTCGAACTCCTGGGCTCCAGTGATTCTCCCACCTCGGCCTCCCAAAGTGTTGGGATTTACAGGCCTGAGCCAGCCCAACAGGCCTAGCACTGTATTTACCTTCACACCATTATCTGAACCTTGCAAAAAATGGCTGTGACAACAGTACAGGTGACATTATTTTGTTATACACAGCAAAAAAAAATCGAGGCTCAGGCTTGAGTCATCCAGTAGGTAGGTGGCAGAGCCCAGACTTAAAGTCTGTGAATGTTAGTTCCCTTCACCTACCCTTTATACCTGCTATGTCCTTAGCAGTGGTTTCAAACGTACACGACACAATCAGGAGTATATATATAATATCTATATCTAGATCCAGAAAAACTCATTTGAAGAGAGGCGAAAATAAGGTAAAATACTGCTATTTAGTTTTAAAATTTAAAAAACCAAATAGGCTCCATTTAAAAAAAAATTATTCACCTTCTCAAGGATTTTTTTTTTTTTTGAGACAGTCTCACTCTGTCGTCCAAGCTGGAGGGGAGTGGCGCAATCTCGGCTCACTGCAACCTCTGCCTCCCAGGTTCAGCGGATTCTGCCTCAGCCTTCCAAGTAGCTGGGACTATGGGCTCGCGCCACCACACCTGGCTAATTTTCGTAATTTAGTAGAGACAGGGTTGCACTGTGTTAGCCAGGATGGTCTCGATCTCCTGACCTTTTGATCCGCCCGCCTCAGCCTTCCAAAGTGCTGGGATTACAGGCATGAGACACTGCGCTGGGCCTTCTCAAGGATTCGTAACGTTGTTCTTTTTTTTTTTGAGGCAGTCTCACTCTGTTGTCCAGGCTGGAGTGCAGTGGCGAGATCCGTGCACTGCAACCTCCGCCTGTCAGGTTCAAGCGATTCCTCTGCCTCAGCCTCGAGTAGCTAGCTGGGACTATAGGCGCGCGCCACCAGGCCCGGCTAGTTTTCTGGATTTTAGCAGAGACTGGGTTTCACCATGTTGGCCAGGATGGTCTCAATCTCCTGATCTCGTGATCCACCAGCCTCGGCCTCCCAAAATGCTGGGATTACAGGCGTAAGCCACCGCGCCCAGACATCGCTCATGTTTTTTTAAGCACTTCCTATGTCCTAGGCACTATCCTAGACTCTGGAAATACAGACTTGTAAAAGTATTCCAAAATCTCTCCTCACACTTGGTACATGCAGGAGAGAGGACGTGTATATGGGGGAATGAGGAGAAAACGTAGGATGTTACTCGTTCACCTTGCAAAGTTTACCACCCAAATTCAACAGCTGTTAAATAAGTCATCGAAATACCAGATACGTGGGAAGAGCATTTACACACTCCTGACATTCCCACCCTCTCCTACTTCAAGAAACAAAATTACTCAACTCTTTAGTACTGCTGTTCAGAACCTCAATTTAACCATCACACCTTGTTTCTTTAAAGCATCAGGGCAAAAAATTCGTTAACTGGTAATAATACCAGTTTAAAAGACAAAAATTAAAACAATCCGCCGCGCCTCCACTACGCTGGTGCCCGGCAGCCACCGCCCTTCAAGTCGACAGCAGATGCCCGGCTCCCATTTCTCGCTCACCCCAATCTTGGCGGTACCTGGAGCCCCCCCAGTCACTCGGGCCCTGCGGCCTGAGGACCGGTGCTCCCAAGACCCGTGGGCCAGGCCTCCGCCTTTCCCGGCTCTTGCAGGGCGCGAGCTCACCGCGGCCGAGGCTGGCCATCCACCGAAGTCCGCCCACCCGCCCCGAGCCAGCTCGGCAGCGCAGGGGCCGCCCCCGCCCGCCCGCCGGCCCCTCGCGGGCTGCCACGTAACCCTTCGCGGGAACCAGGAACTGCGCGGCGGGGCCGGCGGGAGGGGGCGGCAGCGGGTCAGGAAGGGGGCAACGCGGCGGTCCCCACCCCCCTGCGGGCGGCGACGAGGCCCACTGGGACTTTGCATCCCCGGGGCTGGCCGCCGGGGAGCTGCCGCGGGCGTGGAGCAGGGCAGGCCCGCACCTTGGGGACTGGGGGTCCGCCCCTAACCCCAGCCGGACCCCCCCCGCAGTCCTGGCCGGAGAAGCCGAGGCTGGCAGCTGGAGCCCGGGCCGGGGGCAACGGGGCAGGCGGTTGGGGCTCGGGGCGGGCTCACCTCAAACATGAGCCCCAGCAGGAAGACCATCGCCACACAGGAGACGATGTCCGCGTGATTCTGCAGGACGAATTCGTGGCTCAGCACTGGGGGGCTCTTGGTGCTCTTCTTGCGAATCGCCATGGTGGGGCCGCCGCCCGCGCCTGCAGGTGCTCAGCCCCGGCTCTGCTCTTCCCAGTTGCTCACCGACTCGCCGCCACCTTCGCCGCCGCCTCCCCCTGGCTGCTCCTTACAGCCCCGCTGCAGCCGCTCGCTGGGGCTTCACTTCCCATCCCACAGCCAGTACGCAGCCGCCGGGCCGCCCGGGAAGAAAAAAAAAAGCCAGTCCGCAGCGGGGGCGAGCATGCGCACTAGGAAGACGGCGCTCGCTCGTGCCGCAGCGGCCCCCGCGAGCCCACAGCGCCGCCTGGGGACCGGAGGCCGTTGGCCCGCTGCCGGGCGAGTGTGCCGGAACCTGAGCTGCGCGCCCTGCTTCGCGCCGGGTGGGTGGTTGGGGGTCGTTTGGGGAAGCAGCTTCCTGCGCCTGCTCAGCGGCCTGAGACCGCGGCCGGGTCTGAGGGCTGTCGCGCGCCGTGGTGCGCCTGGCCGCGAGCCCCGTGCCCTCCCGCCCTCCTGCCTTCCTGGCCACTCAGGGATTGGGTGCCAGTGGCCTGTCCCACACCGTCACTTCTTCAAGTCGCTGCCACCCTCTGGATAATCGAAAACTATGAATACCACCTGACTCCACAAGGGTACGGCGTATTCTCCAGTTTTAGCATTTGCCTTAAAAATTACCTCAGAGTTAAGCACTCCCAGGGACTTATTTCTACTGTGTAAGTTTGGACTTTTTTTGTTTTTTTCAAGCTGAGCCTATTCGGTCGGCCTGGCCATCCCCACCCATCCCCACCCCCGTCCCCGTCCCCGTTCCCGTCCCCATCCCCCACTGGCCTCAGACTGAAGAGGAAGAGATCAGTTTGGGTTTACTTGCTTCATATATATTTAAAGTAACAACATGTTTTAATACTCTAAGGGAGATATTTAAAAAGTTAAAAAGGATTGTGAATTAGGCGTGTCCTGCTCTTATCGTTTTGCCCAAACCAGGAGTCCTTCGTATTCTTTTTCCTGAAGAATTGCTTTACTGTTTACCCATGAGCCGAATCGAGAAACCAAAGTCACGCTGGATTGAGCCCTTCGAGCGCCCTTCCACGTCCAATCATCGCCAACCCCGGGCAGCCCTGTCACTCGGCTTCCCCACTGCCACAGTGCGAGGGGACTTGCCTCTTGCCTACAGTATTACAAATCTGGTGTAACCACTTAGTGGATCACGAGGTCAGAAGATCAAGACCATCCTGGCTAACACGGTGAAACCCCGTCTCTACTAAAAGTACAAAAAATTAGCCGGGCGTGGTGGCACGCACCTGTAGTCACAGCTACTCGGAGGCTGAGGCCGGAGAATCGCTTGAACCCAGGAGGCGGGATTGCAGTGAGCCGAGATCACGCCACTGCACTTTAGCCTGGGCGACAGAGCAAGACTCCGTCTCAAAAAAAATAAAATAAAGAATGTGGGTTGTTAAATCACAATTCTGTCACTTACTACTTGTATGATCAAGGGCAAGTTACTTAATCTCTATGGGACCCGATTTCCTCATATTTAAAAATATATTCATTTATGTACTTACTGAGGGTTGACTATGTCCTGGACACTGGGGATAGAGAACTGAGTGAAAAATACAAATTAAATTATTCTTATGGACTTTCATTCTAGTGGGGGAGAGAATTTTAAACAAGATTTCAAAAGTGAAACATCTTAAATTGAATTGCGCACCCAGGAGAAAAATAAAACAAGGGGAATAGGAAAGTGTGAGGCACTTATAGTTTCCTGAAGACCTGAAGGAGGTGAGGGAGCAAGCCCTGTGGATATCATCTATAAAGTGGAGATAATTGTAGTGCCCATTTTAGCAATTAAATGAGATAATTAAAGGAAACTGCTTAGCGGGGAGTTAGGGCTTTATAAATTTAGTCAGTGATTATTATTTTCCTCCTTCTGGGCAATCACTAGTTTCATTTCCCTTCAGATCACATTTCAATGTTTATACTAGAATGCTGCTTCTAACCGGCAGAAAATTTTTCAGTGGGTTCCCTTTTACTTCATGGAAAGCTAGCATCACAAAATAGCCCTTTCTGATTTGATCCTTGCCTACCTCGACAGACTGGAGCCTTGCATCTTAGGCCACAATCTCTGTACCAGCATTATTGACTACACACAATATACACTTGCCTCTCCGTTTCTGTGGGTGCTGCATCTGTGGAGTCAACCAACCTGGAGTAAAAAATATTCGAGGAGAAAGCTGCATTTATACCGAACATGTACAGACTACCCCCCCCGGTGATTATTCCCTAAACAATACAGTACAGCAAACTATTTATATAGCATTTATGTTGTGTTAGATATTATAAGTAATCTAGAAATGATTGAAAGTCTAGGGGAGTATTTAGGAGGTTATATGCAAATATTACGTCATCTTATATAAGGTACCTGAGCATGGGTGGATTTTGGTATCTGCGGGAGTCCTGGAACCAATCCCCTGTGAAGACTGAGGGCTGACTGTACATGCCATACCATGCTCTCTTCCCATGCTCTCCCCTGCCTTTGTGTATACTGCTGCCTCTGGAATGCTTTCTCCTCTCCTCTCAGACACAGCAGGCTCCTGCTGTTCCTTCATGTCTTATTTACAGAGGACCTCTTTGAAACCTTCACTGATTCCTGTGGCCTAAGCAATTTATCTTTTGCGATTCAATTGCATTTTTGAAATAGCTTTATTGCAATATAATTTAGGTCATTTAGTTCAGCTATTTGAGGTATTCAATTCTGTGGTTTTCGGTATATTTACAAAGCTGTGCAACAATCACTGTAATATAACTTTAGAACGTTCTTATAATCCCTGAAAGAAACCTTGAACACATTACCAGGGACTCTCCACTTCCCCTCATAGTCTTGGCAGCCCTTGGCAACAACTGATCTATTTTCTAACTCTCTGTATTTGCTTATTGTGGACATTTCTTTTCTTTTTATTCTTTGTTTCTTTTTTGAGATGGGGTCTTTCTCTGTTGCCTAGGCTGGAGCACAGTGGTGTGATCATAGCTCCCTGCAACCTTGGACTCCTGGCCTCAGGAGATTCCCCACCTTCGCCTCCCAAAATGCTGGGATTACAAGAGTGAACCACCATGGCCAGGCTGGACATTACAAGTAAATAGAATCATGGTCTTCTGTGATTGACCTCTTTCACTGAAGATAATGTTTCCAATGTTCATCCATGTTATAACATTTATTAGTACTTCATTCCTTTTTATGGCCACATAATATTCCATTGTATGGATATAGCACATCTTATTCATCAGTTGATGAACATTTGTGTACAAGTTTTTGTATGAACTCAGTTCATTTGGGTATACACCTAGTAGTGGAATTGCTGATCATAAGGCAACTATATGTTTGATCTTTTGAGGAACTTGCACACTAATTTTCAAAATGACTGCATTTCCCACCCTATTAGCAAGGTGTGGGAGTTCCAGTTTCTTCCCATCCTTGCCAATACTTGTTATTTTCTGACTTTGAATCTTATCTATCCTAGTGAGTATGAAGTAGTATCTCATTGTGATTTTGCTTTGCATTTCCCTGAGCACAGTGATGTTGACTACTAGCCCTATCAGGTGTTCAGGAGCCATTTATATATCTTTTTTTGTAGAAATATCTATTCAAATCCTTTACCATTTCTAAGTTGGATTAATTTTTTTAAGTTTATTGAGTTTTAAGGGTTTAAAAATATATATTCTATATGTCCATGTTGTTCTGTAATTTATTTTAAAAAATAAAAAAATAGATTCTAGACCTTAGCAGATATTTGAAAATATTTCATTTCAGTCTGTCTCTTTACTTTTTTCATGGTTTTCTTTGAAGCACAAAAGTTTTTAATTCAGTGAAGTCCAACTTACTGTTTTCTCTTTAATCACTTGCTATCAATGTCCTATATAAGAAATCAGTGCCTAACCCAAGATCACAAAGATTTACACCTATGTTTCACAGTTTTAGCTCTTACACTTGGGTCTATAAGGACTCACTTGTATTTTGTACAACATTTCATTTTAGCAATAATCATACTGTATTCTATTGTTTGCAAGTCTGTCTTCCCACCAAACTGCTGCTCCTCAGGAACTGGGAGTCATTTCATTTTCCCTGCTCCTAGCTCTGGTGCTATACTATCAAATATTTAGTGGTCAATATTTATTGAGGGAATTAAAAGAAAAAATACTTCACTAAACAAGAATAAAACCTTAAGAGTTTAACCAAGAAACAAATATAAAAATCATATTTGGCTCTACAAAGTTAATCATTTTAAATATATTTAAAGAGGACTTGCGATGCACCAAGCAAGTTCTGAGTTGTAGGATATAATTATTAACAGGACAGACTTAGTCTTTGTTCTTGAAACGCATACCTGGAATAGAGACAGACAATAAACAATGACCAATGTGATGGATATTTACAAAGGGACAGCGCAATGTGCAATAGAAGTGTTCTAGGTCATTTGGAAATGAATGGTTCTACTAATGTCAGTTTTAAAACTGAAATTGGCCCTTTCAAACCATAAAATCTAGTTATTTTTCACTTCCTTGTTGGTGAAGTGAACCAACAAAGTGGTCTTCTTTTAACTGCTTAAACATATCGTATACTGGCCAGCCATAGGATTTGAGATGACCCTTGGGTTTGGCAAGATGGAGGTTATGTGGTTATGTTAGTTTGGGTTGTCCAGGAAATAGATGCTAAGACAGAGTTAGAAGCATAAGAGACTTATTGGCAATAACATTTGTGAAAATTAAAGGGGAGGGAAGTCAGCCGGGAAAGCCTTCAGACTGTAATGAAAGGAAGAAAGAAGGATCAGGCAGGAAGAGCCTCAGACTGAGGTGCAGCTGAGAAAGTTTTGGCCAGCCTTGTGTGGAGCTCCAGCACAGAGACTTCCCATTGAGGATTTCCACACCGGACAGAGAAGATGAGTCCTTGGACTGCGGCAGTGCTCTGTTACGCACTGCAGGCTCCTACCCTGTGCTCATGCCATCTTCCGCAGGAGTTCCTCACTTCTGTCAGGAGACCCTCTCTCTACAAAGCTCCCTTGGGCTTTGGTAATTATCCTTCTTGCTCCTTCAGGCACCCTATTGATGATAGCGTTGGGGTACTTCACAACCCACTGTTGTTTCCTTGCCCCTACCCACAGCCTTGAAGAGTGCCTTTATACACATTTCCCCAAATCACCCAATTTAAATGTGCCATTTGCTTCTGCTAGAACCCTGATTCTTTTGGAGTCACTGGTGACTAAGAAGAGAGTATTTTCCTTGGAAATGGTAGAAGCAAATAGCTGACTGGAGTGGGTTCAAGAAAGAATGGGAAATGGCAAGAGGGAGGCATGAGAATAAGCAACTCACTTGAGGGGATTTCCTTGCAAGGGAAGACAGAATAATGGGCAAGTGGTGAAGAGAGGCCTGGGGAAGGGTTTTGCTTTTCTTTTTGGATAAGCTATACTATGGTGTTTGCATGCAGATGAGAATGATCTATAAGAAAGAGAAGTTTATTCTACAGGAGTTGCTTGGAGAAGCAAAGTCGTTGAGCAGCTCAGAGTTGATGGAATCTAGAGCACAGCTGACCACAGTGACAAGATAGGGTGCCCAGAGCAACCAGATAGAGGGCAGAATTTAGGGGTAGGTTGAGAATGGCAAGATTAAGTTGTCTGCTTCTGACCGCTTCTACTTTCTCAGTAAAATAGCAAACAAAATCATCAGGAGTGGAGATAGTGTGATGGCATTTGAGAAGAAAATGGGGTCAAACTGTGGACGATGAATGGATTGAAGGAATGTTATCAGACAGCAGGGCCCACTTGAGATTTGGGGCCATACATTTAAAGTAAGACTAGTAAGCAGAGCCACATAATTTTCTCCAGTCACATCTCCCTGTTTGGATACAGGTGTGGAGAAGGCACAGTTAGGTTTTGCCAGGCCAGTATGACAAAGGATGTGGAGGATGTGCGTGGTTGAGGGCAGGGATGATGAAGTGAAGGCTGTGAGATGGTGGTCATGCTTGTTATACTGTCACCCTCTGCCCCGAGAGTCCACCCTTTTCTTCTGTGAGAGGCAAATGTCTGCAGACTGCATTACTGTCAGTAATGATTGACTTATCATCCTAAGTCAATTAATGCAGAAACAGAAAACCAAATACTTCATGTTCTCACTTATACATGGGAACTGAATATTTGGTACACAAGGACACAAAGAAGAGAACAATAGATATCACAGCTTACTTGAGGGTGGATTGTAAGAGGAGGGTGAGGATTGAAAAACTGCCTTTCTGATATTATGCTTACTGCCTGGGTGACAAAAATAGCTATACACCAAACCTTGCCCTTGACTTCCTGTTGGAATAGGACTGGAAGTCTGTGGAAGACACTGGCCAAAAATCAGAGACTTTTGGGTACTTATTTATACTCCCATCCTTCCTTGCCTTACTATGGTTCCGACAGTGGCTATGTTTGTTCTCCTGTGGCCACTGCCTGTGTCAGGTAGATTTTCTGTTACTGTTTCAGCTCTAAGGGGGCTCCAGGGAGCTCATTCCCTCCCCTACCACTTCAGGCTGTTGGTTGTAATAGCTTCCCATGCTCCTACTCCCTGGATACTTCACCATCCCTTGTTGGTTCCTTCAACCTGTTACTCTTCTGTGAATAGGTCCTTCATTAAACTCTCTCCAGCTAAACACTTTTGAGTGAGTCATCTGTTTCTTGCCAGTTCTCTGTCAGAGATGGAGGACAGGAAACTAGTGCTAGGGTCTCTGACTTGGAGGCACCTGTGGGGCTGAAGAATTGTTGTGGAGGGTAGATGGCTGAGGAGGAAGTAGTGAGAGAGTAGGTTCCTGGAAATGACTTCACAGGTTGTGCAGTCACTGGCAATGAGATGCACAGGGTAAAAAGGTGGGAGTGGGTAGCTGAGGTGGATGGAGGAGGAGAGCTTTGGGAGTGAGAAGTCAAGGGAGTAGGAGGCTAAGGTGCTTGGCACACACTTTACATAGATGCTAAATCACCAAGAATGACTGAAGAAGAGTGGACAGGGAGCCAGTGAGGGAGCTGGCCACTGACATCTACTGTGAATGAGGAAGAGCCTGAGAGACTGGCAGATGATTGCCAAAGGAGGGTAGTGGGTAGTGTAGTTTGAGGGCACGGACTTCCAGAAAAGCTGAGGTTTTTGAGCAAGGGAGAATTGTTGTCAGCAGCAATGAGGATCATGAAAGACACCCACTCCATCCCTAGGCTCTGTGGTATGTGGTGCGTTGGAGGGCAGAAAGAGCCACCTATTGAGAAGGCTCTAGGGGAAGCAGCTTTCAGTTTTCATTTAGAGCTGCCTCCAGGTTTCTGGGCAAGAAGGTGAAGAAAACATTCGGAAAGAGGCAGTGGGTATCTGGGATTTGGTAGATGGCACACCTGGAGCTTTGGGGGATACACTGGAAGAGTTCAGGGACTGGGAAGGGTCTTTTAGCTTAAGCAAAATAAGGGAATGAACAGAATCTTCTGGGAAGGAGATTGTGGTGATGATGGATAACAATGGAGGTTTGACTCTGGAGGTGACTAAGGTGTAAAGAGTTTTGAAGCATGGTGGAATGATCTTGAGGTCTTCTAGGGGAAAGTGGGGGTTTAATGATAATTTTAGCTTCTGTTTTTGATTGGCCTCTTGAGTTTATAGTTAAGGGTGGCTGCCATTAAATTCTACAAGGGTAGGTCATGGTGGTGGGGAAAGTGGTCCTACCAAGACATATGGGTTGTGGAGGCCGCCTTCAAGTAGAATTTTTTTGTTTGTTTTAGAGACGGAGGTCAGGCTGGTCTCAAATTCCTGGCCTCAAGCAATCCTGTCGCTTCAGCCTCCCAAAGTGCTGGGATTACAGGGGTGAGGTACCCCACCAGGGACCCCTGAAGCAGATTGATTACTCATGTGTGTTCAGATCTGGAGGCTACATTCTAAGTAAGTGAGACTTTGGCAAACATAGCCTGGACCCTGAAATTCTCAGGATACTTTTAATGACTGCAGGACAGAAGGCAGCTTATTTGGGATTAGGTCTATCCAGGAAAATTTGTGGCACAAGATTGCTATAATTATGAGAAATATAAAAGAACAGAAATATGATCTTTGCCCTCAATGAGGTTGTGTTTAGTTGGTCTTACAAGACATGTATAAGAATAAAAAACCTGTTCTGAGATACTGTAATGTGAAAGTAGGTGCAAGAAAATGCCTGACAGAAATAAGTTAGAACTAAAATGGGAGTGTTTGATTTCAGCTTCTCCTTGGGGACAAACTGATGAAAAGCAAGAAATGAATCTTTGTTACATGCTTATTAAATTCCGGGAAATTTGCGTTTACATATATTATTTGGTCTTCAAAATCATCTTAAAATAGGTATTGTTATCTTTATTTAAAGATAGAGAATCTGAGGCTCAGAGATGTTTGGTAATTTGCCCAAGGTCATAGGACTAGGTATCTGCGTACCTGCCAAACCCATTCTTTTTAATGTTTTTTTGAGACAGGGCCTTGCTGTGTTGCCCAGGCTGGCTTCAAACCCTTGGGCTCAAGAGAACCTCCCAAGTAGCTGGAACTACAGATGTGCACCACTGTGCAGCAACCATACTCATTCTTGTTTCATGTAAACAGTTCTGCAGGGTCTGTACTTGCCAGAAAGACTCTGACTCTTCAGAGAGTAGTGATTCTCAATCTTATCTCATTTCTCATCTATTCAAGAGACTGGTTCCTGCCTTTGTAGAAACACAAAGCCCATGAAAAAAAAAACCCAAACAGGTAATTTTTCTGTTTACATGCTATTGTTGGATCAATACGGTGAGCTTTAAAATATAAAATCGTACTCAGCTGGTGAGGGGGACATTGTATTTTGATGAGGAAGCAAAACCATTTCATTAATATTTGGAAATTATATGATTTTCTTGAGTATAAATTTTGCTGCTATGGAAATGAGGAAACAAATTTATAATGCAGTGTTGCTACTAGTAGGTAAGACTGGCAGGAGATGACATGTCACATTTAGAGGTAGATCTGGCAATTGAGAGAGCTGGTTGGTAATGGCTATGAAAATTCTGTGACCCACCCTGACCTAGGTGTCTCTCTAGGGTTAGAATGTAATCCTGTGACCTATAGAAGCTTAAGGAGCCCAAGCACAAGGTGGACTTTCTCACTTGATTTAACCAAGCACATCAGGCCTGAGTAATACTTCTCTGATAAAGAGAGCTTAGTTTCAGTAAGTTGTGAATGCAAAGTGAAAAATGGAAACAGGAAGTAAAGAGAATATTTTCAAGAAGTTTAAGGTTGAAGGGGAGAAGACAGCAGGGTGTGTAAATAAAGAAGAATAAGGCAGTCAAGGTAGGTTTTGTTTTTGTTTATTGAATGATGTCACAGTTGAGCATGTTTATTAATAGATGATGAGAAGGAAGGGAGAGGGGAACAGGCTGAAGACAGGGGGAAGAGTTGGGCAAAATGATTGACAGAGGTCTCTAAAGTTTGGAATCCACTAGAAGTTTACATAGGAAGGGACACTTATTTTTTCACTGAAAGCATGGAGGGAGGAGGAAATGTTAGTAGAGACAAGGCAGCCACAGAATGACAGTGGACGTTCTTCCACATGGATGGTGAACTCAGGAAGGGGACTGCAAGGAGGACTGAGTTGAGTTTCTGTTTTGAATAGTTAAAAATGAAAACTACAGACAAAATACATTTAACAGAGTTTACTTGAATATTAAAGGATTCACAAAGTAGGTAGCACTCAAAACCAGAAGAGGTTCACAGAATTGTGTTTCAGCCATGAGAGCAGCAGGCTTTTATAGTCTGAACAAGTAAAGAAACTGGTTGGCCAGAAATTGCTCAGCCAGATTACAACGCCTATAATCTCAGCACTTTGGGAGGCTGAGGCAGGCGGAACACCTGAGGTCAGGAGTTTGAGATCAGCCTGGCCAACATGGTGAAACCCCATCTCTACTAAAAATACAAAAATTAGCTAGGCATGGGGGAGCACGCTTGTAATACCAGCTACTCGGGAGGCTGAGGTAGGAGAATCGCCTGGTGGCAATGAGCCAAGATTGTGCCACTGCACTCCAGCCTGGGCAACAGAACAATTACTTGATTGGGTACAGCTAAATATTTGCCTTATTTGGGTATAATCTGATGGACGTTTTTAGAAGTATGTTGGTGGTTCGTGATTAGTTAAGTTTAAGTGTCCTTTTACTGTTTATATTGAATTGAGTTTTAGTTTGTCTGTGTAGGAACCTAAGGTGCTAGTTGGCCTTATAGCTGCCCAATTACTTATTTTAACAGAATGAATGAGTGGGGAGTAGCAATAATAAGGGAAGAAGGAAATATGTCAGCAGGAACAGAGTTTTTTTAGGCATAGGGTGGCACTGAATGGTTTGGAGAGGGAGAAGGCTGTCAGCTCCACCTCTGATCTTCTCAAGACATATAAAGTTTGAGGGACGAACGATTTTTATTTTTCTTTTCTTTCTTTCTTTTTTTTTTTTTTTAGACAGGGTCTTGCTCTGTCACCCACTGGAGTGCAGTGGTGTGATCTTGGCCCACTGCAACCTCCACCTCCTGGGTTCAAGCAATTCCCCTGCCTTAGCCTCCTGAGTAGCTTGGGATTACAGGTGCTTGCCACCACAGCCGGTTAATTTTTTATCTTTAGAAGAGACAGGGTTTTACCATGTTGGCCAGGCTGGTCTCAAACTCCTGATCTCATGATCTGCCTGCCTTGGCCTCCCAAAGTGTTGGGATTACAGGCATGAGCCACCGCACCCAGCTTAAGGAAAGATGTTCTTTTAAGAGGGCTGAAGGGGATTGGTATTTTGAGGGGAGAGTCTAGCATAAAGCAACTGGTCAGAGGGAATGTTTGGTGCAGTGGCAGAAGTTGTAGGAAGCTTATAATGGAATGAATTATATTAGTTGTAACTCTTCATTGCAAGTGACTGAAATGGGAATATAGTGAACCAGAAGTTAAGAGAGTCGAAGGAAAAGCTTCAGGAGTCAGGGCGCATTGTGGATCTTAGGAACTAGAACCAGGCACTTGATTTCATTAGATTCTCTCTTTACCTCTCTCTCTCTTTATTTTTCTTCTGTCTTCTGTTTCAGGTTGGCTTCATTTGTTTCTATTGTAAATGGACTTTATTTACATGCCAGAGAACATGGTCACTTGCCAGTTCTATCAAAGGAGTTCCCTGGAAAGACTTAAAGCAAGCTGGTTTAGGTTGCATGCTCATTTCTGGGTCAATTGTTTTGGCCCATCTTGGCCACATGCTTTTCCTTGTGGTAAGGGTGAGTTTAGTACCAGAAGGTGTGAAGGAACAAGTACTGGACAAGTAAGAACACGAACCACCATTGGTGTCCTAGATAGAGAACATGGTAGAAAGGATCTGGAGGTAGAGGAACAGTGGGAGGTGGTTGGATCAGGGAAGAAAAATCCAACAGTAACCGGAATGTGAGTGAATGAGATTACTGGATGGGGTGACTTGTATTTCAGGTAATGGCCAAGGGCTGTGGGGATATCCAGTAGGGTGATTTCTAAAATAATTTCAGTAATCACAGATAGACGAAGGACTTCAATTTGAATTTGTTGTGTTTTCACAAGGGTTCTAGTTCTTGGGAACAGACAGGAAAATTGTGACAGGTAATTGGTTCCTGGGAGGCTGGCACATTCTGGAGATGGCAGCAGCTTCTGGGGATGCTTCATGAGGTTATTATGCACTGACATCTTCCAAGGAGGCTACCAAGTAGATCATTTTTCACCTGATGAGAATTAAACATTGAGAGCATCATTTTGTGCAAAATGCCTTCCCCAAATGAGATCTTATGCCTCAGGGAATTTGTGACTGGTGGAACTGAATAGATACCTTGTAGCCATCAAAAACTGTTGTGTCGCCCAGTACCTAGTAGAACCCAGATCTTGGGGTGATGGCCAAGGATTCTTTGGAGCTCCTTGCTTGCTTGCATCAGGCCATGTGCTCCAAGACAAAGCTTAGGGCACAAATGAAAACACCTACAATGTATACATTTCTTTGCAGTCCCCCAAGCATTTTTGATACACATTACTAATTTTAACTTCATATAAACCCAGAACATAATGTTATCCCTGTTTCAAATGAGGAAACAGAGGCTTAGAAAAATAACTTGCTTAAGGTTTTGTAACTAAGTTTTAACTCCCAGGATGAAGGATGTGAATTTTATCTATAAAATTATGGTAAGATTATCCTAGGAGTAAATATGGTACTTTGTGGCAATTAATTGGTGTAAGTTAAAAGTGAAATAATCATAAGGGAATATTTGAATGTACTGTTAACAACAACAAAATAAAATTAATATTTAGTGGACGCCAAGCACTATGCTAAATACTACAAACTACTCAATACT